CACCACCGTCAACAGAACTGCCCCACGTGACGACACGTCCATCACCCAGGGCTGCTGCAAAACAGTTGCTGTTCTTGCATATCTCTACCCTTCCGATGTGCAACGTGACCACATCCCCGTCTTGCAGCCTAGCTTTCTTGAGCGGTGTCTCATCATCCAGAATGCTACCAGATGAATGTAACAATCGCCCCTTCCCCACGCCCAGCGCGACCTCCGCCCGACGCTTCAAGTTTTTCACGGGTTCTTCTACATCTGCTCGTACTGAAACCGTGCGGCCACTGAGCAGGCTTACGTCAAAGGTTTGCCGCATGGCAGTGAGCAAGAGCCAAATGGCGCACTGTGCTGCATAATTATGGACTGCTAGCAAACAGAGACTCTCACCTCGCCTACTATCATACAGCTTCTACCGGTACTACCAAGATCTACCAATTTTACTTGTACTCCAGGATTCCTCGGACTCTTACTCTTGCGCATCCTCTTACTCATACACTCTCTTGCTCTTACTGCTACAATCTGCTACACCTATATACTCTCACACCTACTACTTCCACTCCCATTCCTCTTTCGACTCCCAGCCCTGCTCCGAAGTCAGCCCACCCTCCTAAACCTTTGCAACCCCTACGCCCGTAGGCCCTGTACTATCTTACCATAAGCCCTTTAAGCCCTTTCGTATGAGCCCCTTAAGACTCCACCTAGTCACCTCGTCGCCTCCGAACCCTTTTGGCGCCTCGTACACCCCGTACTCATCCTTGCCAGTGACCTCAATCTCTCCCTCGCCATCCCCTTCTCCTGGGAAAGCGCTCCGCCAGGCGTCGCACTTCTAAGATTGCGAAGCCTATAGGGTTTCGGATTTGCAAATTGGCTTCAGGGTTTCGTCGCATACACTCGCACACGGCAGGCAAGGCTTCTCAAGGCCCAGTGAGACTGCCACACTGGCAACAGTGCTGTCCCTTCTCGTCCATGCCCAATGACAATCATGATTAATGCTAGTACTCTACAAATTATAGTATGTTTATCAGGGTGTAGAGGGATTCGGGTCTCCTGTGAGCTCTATCAGGATGAACGGGACCTTAGTCGTGGAGTCAAGCTCCCGCAAATTCCTGCCCAGGCTGTTAAGGATTTAGGGTTTTTGGGGCTTAGGGTTTATACGGATTTTTCCCACCCGTTTCGCATGCGTTTACGGGGAAAAGGTCAGGTTGTACAAAGGCGCGAGTTTAGGATTCATTGACTGCAGGATATTCAGGTCAGGTTTCAGGGCTGCTCCAAAGACACAGAGCAACACAAGCAAGAAGACGAGTATACTTTGTAAGGATTTAGGGTTCAGGGTTTATAAGGTTTATACAGGGTTTAGGGTTTATGAGGTTTAGGGTTTAGGGTTTAGGGTAGTTGTAAGGTTTAGGGTTGAGGGTTTTTGTCGCGCTGCAGGGCTGCTCGGGAACTCTTCCGGTCTCAGGCAATGTCTTCCGTCACGGACTTGCATCATGTCGAGGGAGATTAGGCCGCCGTTGCATCCCTACGTCTACCAGACAAACCAACCTCTTGGGATGTTCCCCCTTATACTAACAGTCCTTAATCGGGATTCTAGTACCCTCCACTATAATCCCTATTAAGGCTTGTTTTTGAAATAGGGTTTGGAAAAGGAGGAAGCACCATGAGACATTGGAATGAGTAACCCTAAACCCTAAATTACGCGAAGTTCTCAAGTGGTTGCTGGGGTCGGGGGCCTCAGACGCTCGTGGACTGTCTTGTGGTGGAATGCATCCACTGCCACCGCCCTGGCTGCACAACTCATGGCCTCGTTCCTTCGCCCTTTGCAGACTTAGGCGGCTACAGTATGCCCAGAATATGTTTCGAGCTTCCTAAATGTTGCCGGATGGCCTAGGGTCGAACGACCTTGCACTTTGCCAGCTTTGCGCCTACGTGTCTTGCCATGGAACTGAAGAAGCACCACCAAGTCTTACATGCCCAGCACCAGCATACGTTCTTACTCATACGTGCTCTGACCAGCTGTCGCCACGGAAGTGCTCAGGGGGCCTACTGGTAGAGACCCGCCAACAATCCAGCACACAACCAAAGCTGAACAATAGCACACACAGCTCAAGGTCACCGCACACCTTCCAGAACCTTTTGCCGAGAGGCCAAGGCTCACGGTGTAGATTCGTCTAGAAGATCAGATCCCTTAAGCCTCTATGTTCCATCTCAAATGCCCAACATATCGGAAAACAAGTGCCTGGTTAAATGCCACAAGCACTGAGAAGTCCACTGAAACCTCCTGATTGAGCTTCCGGCTGTTGGACGTTCGCAGGTGTCACGGGCTCTGGCGGCTCCCTCTCCTCCGGACGTTGGGTCCCTTCGGGCAGTTTAGGGTTCAGGGACATTTATAAGCCTGTATGGGTTTATGCCTGTGTATATATATATATGTGTGTGTGTGTATATATATATGTATGTATGCAAACATGTATTTACACATTGATGTTTACATGTGTGTGTGTGCATCGGTATGTTGATATGTATGTATATATATATATGTGTGTGTGTGTATTTATATACCTGGATGCTCTGCTCACGTAGGCAAGGCCAGTGAAAGCACTGGGTGTGCCATCTACCTTACTGGCGCTTGAGAAGCCCTTCTAAACCCTTTAGCCACCCCTTGGTATCCAGGGCACTCCAGGGATTGCAAAACCATACATTCCCATGCCCCTAAACCCTAAACCCTAAACCCTAAACCCTAACACCTAAACCCTAAACCCTAAACCCTAAACCCTAAACCCTAAACCCTAAACGAACCCTGCACCCTAAAACAACTATTAGCCGATGGTTGGTGGATCCCAGGCTTCGCTCCGGATCTGCCGCTAGGGACGCTGAGGCACAGCATCCCATCTTGGAATGGGTCCTCCCAGTTCATGGATACTAGTAGGAGGTTTAGGGTTTAGGGTTTAGGGTTTAGGGTTTAGGGTTTAGGGTTTAGGGTTTAGGGTTTAGGGTTTAGGGTTTAGGGTTTAGGGTTTAGGGTTTAGGGTTTAGGGTTTATAACGTTTAGGGTTTAGGGTTTAGGGTGCATAAGATGGGAGAAACAGGATCGAACGTGGGCACGGGGTCGTCTCAGTATGGCGTATATAGAGCAGGTTTGAGGGAGCTTGCTAAGGATGAGCGGATGCACAGCGAAAACTTCTATTTCGTTCCGCGGGGCTTTGTAAACTCCGATGGGGATGCTATCAGCAAGGCTATCATGCTCATTGAAGTCATCTAGCACAATGCTGGGTGTTGCCGGCGCTTGATTGTTCGCTAACCCTGTCCATGCCTCCTCCCAGCACACGGATATGTGGCAAAGGCACACAAGTCCTATGGAACAGCCGGAAACCGATGTTGCTTACAAGATGGTGAGAACGCTGCTCAGAAACAACAGAGAGACAAACGAACAAGTATGTCCACATACCCACTTAATATGGACCGAAACCAAAGTTCAACAACGCTTCTCATTGATTGAGTAACACAGCTTCACCGTTTTGTTTGCTACAGCCTGTTCGTCCTGCAAGAGCCAACTATGGCAGCGGTTTAGGCAGTTGATCTACTTCAGAGGTGTGGAATTTATACAGGTCCCGGATCAATCAACACAACCTCTGAATGAGCCGGGATTAAGAACAAAGATGGAACTGGGTAGCGACGGTGGCCATGCCACGTTGTCAACTTCATGACACCTGCATCCAAAGGAGAAAGTAGCCCGCGCTGGTGGCAATGGTACCCCATTTCAGTCTTTCTTTCACGTTCTCTTACGGACACCGTGACGAAGACGACCACCGACACCGGAACCCTTAGAAAATAAAGAAGTAATGATCCCTATATTGCCTGTTTAGAAAGAACCTGTTTTCTTTTTCTCAAGCGAAACAATGGCTTTGGTTGCACCGCCTAAGTGTCCGAGGGCTTATGGATCAGAGGCCGGCGTACAGCTCGGACATCATCTCTTTGCCTCGGCTGTATCCACGGACTCCTTGAAGACGCAAACCCGAGCCCGAACAATCCCGCCATGTTGCGCCAAACCCTCCGCAACCTACGACCTACGATTCGGACGATCTTCATCCTCATCTTCACGCACCCAAAACCTGCGTGAGTTGTGGTTTCGGTGGGGGCTCCATAGCGTGTGAGACTTCGTTGCGAGATGCTCGTGCCCACACCACAAACTCCAGCAGGAACGAAGCGGCCAGGGGCCCACGCAGAGACTTTCGAACTGCTGCGCGTTTAAGCCGTCGCTGCCAGCGGCCTCAGAATACCAAGCACCGTGGGCACCACAGCCCTCTCTGAGACCTCCTTTGTGAAGCTGTCAGGACTTTCGATGTGTTTCGGGGCGCCCCTTTCCTAGGGCCAGAGCATTCAGTAGAAAGGAAACCAACATTGGGAAACTAAGGGGTTTCGGGATTCCAATGAGCTTCCAGTGTTTGGAAGGCCCCATGCACCGAAGCTGAGCTGCGCGCAAAAGAGTACGCGCGCTGCTTGACGGAATTGAGGTGGTCACCCTGCGACAAACTGCTGGATATGGGATTCCAAAAATTGGGGGGTCCATTTTTGGGGGGTTCCTCTATCTAGCATTCTGGGATATGACAGGGGGGGGGTCCTTTTTAGCTTACTACCTATCGGAGCTGCCGGGGGGCGTCTCCATATGCCCCGAAGGCTTAGAGGTTTAGCGTTGAGGGTTGTTGGTGCATTGGGGCGGGGTAGGCGTACTTACAACTGCTTGGCTTCGGGATATCCTGCAACAGATCATGCAATGTAGCTACTGAGGGTCCAGCAGTACCAAATGCGCTACACGTCTTTTGGTTGCATCTTGTTGCCGGACCCCTACAACAATGTGTGCACGTTGTATAAGAAAGAGGTGCTGAAGCTGTGCAGTCCGTGCTATTCTGCGAGTACAGGGCTTCAATTTTCTAAGCCAGCGTTCTGCAACTAAGCTCTCCAAGGGCACAGGTGAAGACAGAGCAACGCGCGCTTTTGCAACGACGGCTGGCTCACATCTTGGATCCAATCCAGACTCCGCCGTCGACATTGATGGTTGCGCCGTTCACATAGCTTCCTGCATGTGCCAATGTACGCAACACGGTCAAACACACAAACACACAAACACACAACACACAAACACACAAACACACAAACACACAAACACACAAACACACAAACACACAAACACACAAACACATAAACACACAGACACACAGAGAGACACAGAGAGACACAGAGAGACACAGAGAGACACAGAGAGACACAGAGAGAAACAGAGACACGTCAGAGACAGAGAGAGAGAGAGAGAGACACACACACACACACACACGACAGATGGCAAAAGTGCAACCACGATCGAAGAGCTGCAACCAGACAAAGCCCCATCAGCCTGACTCCTTCCCCAAACTCGACAGAGCACCAAAAACCAGCAACGAACCGCCGGGCTTCAACAAACCCAAAACCCCTACACACAAAAATGAACGCACGGGGTGGAAGTACTCTGCAGAAGGGCGCTTGGGTATGTCGACTCAAACCGTTTTGTTGCCAGCTGCCACAAGTCGAGGTATAGGAAAGCTTCCTTCCAAAAACGTCGTCTTATTGCACAAGTTGTTCCAAACTATGACCCAGACGCAGAAGCACAGGCTCGCAGTATGACTTGGACACACAAGTAGATCTAGCGACAGCATCAGCCCAAGCGCCAAGCTCCAAGAAAGCCTAGTTGATGCTACTATTGCCATCAATCTTTCCACACATTGTTGTGTAGTCTGAGTAGTCGTCGCAGAAGTAGAAGTATGAGCATAGTCCTTTATTCTTCGTCTCATTGATCATCGTCTTTGTGGCAGCCTGTTAGTATTATTCCTAAGCCCCCACCCACCCGCCCCCCCACCTCCCCACCAGTCGTACGTATTCTGCATGTGCATTATACATTGTCTTGCATATATGCAGTTTCAGTAAATCTAGTAGATGTGTGTGTGTGTGTGTGGGTGGGTGTGCGTGTGTGTGTGTGTGGAGTCGATGTGCTCATGAACCGCTCCGGTGGCCTGCCCGGGAGATGAGGAAGATCCTCGGAGGATGAGGCACCAATAAGTCAGAATCTACCTTGGGATGTTCCCCCTTATACTAACAGTCCTCATTTCATACGGTTTATACTATAGGGGTTACCATAATCCCGATGAGGGACTGTTGGTGTAAGGAGGAACCGCTACCACATGAAAGCCGCCAAAGCACAATGCAAACACGGCTGCGTGATGCCGGATGCAACCTTTACCCTATAACCCTAAACCCTAAACCCTAAACCTTTTTTGACCCCGCGAGCTCTGCCGGGTTTCCAACGTCCTTGCCTGGTGCGACACAGGGGGACACTAAGCTCAGCCAAAGCCTCCCTTCTTAGCCGGGGCTTCACCCGCGACAGGTCTCTGTGCACAAGATCAAAGCGCGGAAATCAACTGAAACATGCATGCACATCCTCCACATCCTCAGCAGTAACCCGACCTGCCATACTTCCTCGCGACCGCTCCTCCCGACGTCGTTGTTTGAGTGCGAGACGATGGATGTTATGTCTCTCTCGGAGCTGCTCAGAGGTTGCCACGCCATCAAGTCCTCGAGGGACTCTGTCAATGCCGTCACCATGGGCACCATGTTCAGCCCGTCGAACATATCCAGGCGGATTTGAACCGGTGAGTCCATCCTCATGTCGAGCCACCCTGGCTGAACCAACTGAGTCAGAAGTAACCAAACTCGCAGACCGATCCTCTGGCATAGTAGATGAGGAGGCAAGACCATCTGCAGCATCGCCAAAGTGAGCACTGAGCTGACTAACTCGTTCACGAAGCTCCAAGATAAGAGTAGCCTGGGCAAATAGTTTCTGCTTCATGTCCAAAAGCGTTGCCTGACAATGATGCTCTATTTCCTTCATGATTTGTTCAAATGCCGGTCGAGTAAGGACTTCCACGTCAGTTTGAGAAGTAGCGTCGTTTTTACATGTGGGCGCACCGGGTAATCCATGTCTGGGGAGGGATTCGCCAGCCTGTGAACCATCACGGTCGAGTCCAAGCCCTTGGGCAAGACATATCTTGTACGGCTGCACTCTGGATTCCTTGATTGTGCCCTCCATATCGTCCAGAGCTGGGTTGGTGCCCGGGCAAAAAGTGCTTGCTGAAGGTACTCGGCTACACGCGTGTAGCCACAGCGATTAGAGACCCTAATCGTGTAGCCGATGCAGCCAGACAGCTTTCGTTTCATGATGTCGGTAGACATAGCGGCACACCACTCACTCACCTGCACCTAATTAGGGGGCACTCAATTGGAATCTCGTAACCAAAACGGCTTGAGCCAAAATGGCAAAACCCTAAACCCTAAACCCTAAACCCTAAACCCTTAACCCTAAACCCTAAACCCTTTCCTACGACGAAGGCTCGTTGTCCCGGCAATGTCGAACGTCTCGCCGAGGCGTCGCAGAGGATTCCCAGAGGCGATGGCCGCCTGCGGCACTGCAAGGATTGAGGTTGGGATGTTCCCCCATTATACCTAAGAGCTCCTCAATAAGGGGTTATTTTGGGGGGTACTACAATCCCCATTAAGGACTGTTAGTATGACGGGGAAGATCTCAAGACTGAGGGTCAGGAGATGTGAGGATTCAAGGTTTCTTTGAGCTGGAAAAGTCTCGAGCCTTCAAGTTTTAGAGCCAAAAGGCCCACTATCAAAGTTCCGTAAAGATTGAAAGGTCCTCATCGCCCAAGCTTAAACCCAGAGCCCCCAACCGCGAAAATCAACTCTAACCCCTCCCCCCCTCCCTCTTATCCTCCTAAACCCTAACCCTAAACCCTACAACCCAAGCCCTAAACCCTAAACCCTAAACCCTAAACCCTAAACCCTAAACCCTAAACCCTAAGAGGCAGACCTTGAACTTCTTCACCTCAGGATGGTCCGGATTCTGCCAGTTCTCATAGGCCGGCCTCGCGTGGGGAGTTTCCACGCGGACGCGCAGGGTTTAGGGTTTAGGGTTTAGGGTTTAGGGTTTAGGGTTTAGGGTTTAGGGTTTAGGGTTTGGGGTTTGGGGTTTAGGGTTTGGGGTTTAGGGTTTAGGGTTTAGGGCGGTTTTTTGGGGGCTTTTAGGGCTCTGAGGGTTTCTTAGATAGGGCTTCTGTGGGTTTAGGACTTAGAGTGGGGCTTTTAGGGCTCTGAGGGTTTAGGACTTAGAGTTTGAAGGGCTAAGGCTAGGGTTTGGGTTTAGGTCTGGGGGCTTGACTGGTTCCTAGAGTGGTTCAGGGTTTTAGGGCGACTCATAATCCCTTGAAATAGGGGATGTAAGGTACCGAACTTCCTTCTATTCCCACGAAGATTCTTACACCCTTAAGCCGAAACCGCCCGCCCTTCCGCGCTCCGTCGGGTTTTAGGGCTTGGGCTTGGGATTGAAGGCTGTAAGGGTTTAAGGTTTAGGGTTTAGGGTTTTGGGTTTAGGCTGTGGAACATCAAGGGGTGCAGGGAATCGTATAGCGGCCACCTGTAGTTGCTTGCCAGCATCCTGCTGAAGAACGGCCTCCCACGCAAGCCGCTGGGCGCTGGGAACCCCAAAAGAATAACCCGAAAGCTGTAACCCCGAACTCCAACCCGTAGTTCTCTGAGCACGAGAGTTGAGGTTGAGGCTGGCTGCACAGCCACGCAGCAGGCTTCTGGCTACTTGAAAAGCTGACGGTGGCTGCAGAGCTCTTTGCTGCGAACGGCTAGCCTAAACCCTCGCAAGACCCTAAATCCTAAACCCTCAAGGCAAAAATGCACCCTACACTCAGCCTCAATCTGCGCATCTTTCTGATCAGTATTACTAAAACTTTTTACCATAGCACCAAGAAAACGAATAGGAAAACAATCCAAAATTAGTGGGAAATGACACTTAAAGACAATCCAATATCAAACATGTAACCATAAGAACACAACAGTACAAAGAATATTCAATATGTACTATGATTTCGTAGCAGAAGCACCACGGTCTCCCAACCCCTGACAAGCCCTCCACCCTGGCGAGATGGCGTTGACCGTGATGTTGCGCGGGCCGAGATCTCGTGCCAAGTGCCTGCCGCTGCAGGGTTGCAAGGGCTACTACAAGGGCTTACAGGGCTCAGCATAACCCTAAACCCTAAGCCCTAAGCCCTAAACCCTAAGCCCTAAGCCCTAAGCCCTAAACCCTGTCCGGCCATCCCTCACACTTTTCAAGTTCCGGCCCCCGCACGCGTTTGGAGCGGGAGCTGCTGGCACCCCTCCACGGCAGAGAGGTACGGATTCCTAAATTGTACTGCACAGCCAAGCCGAAAGGCCGAGAGGACCCAATGGCTATGAAGTCATTAGTGGGAAAGTTGGGGTGGACCTATTCAGAAATCGAGCAGAAATCCGTCTCCCAATTCGATGCAGAGCATCTGAAGATGGGTTGCGGCCAAGCTGGGGCATGTCTCCGGGCGGGAAAAAACTCCGCACATTGAGAATGACCCTGTGGCAGCTGGCCAAGGTGCAGCCGCGAAGGAACGAATTCTCTCTGCTAAGAGCACTGGCGCGTCAACATGGATGAGGCACTAGGGGTCTGAGATGCAATTGTAGGGTCTCCATTTCTAAGGCTATATTTAAGATATTATATGCTTAGATTGTCATGCTATATTAAGAGAGTGGTATATGAGTATATGTTTGCGGCTACATGGTTACATTTGTCTTTGAGTATACCAGTATATTCTTATATTCTTATAATATACATATATTTTTACATATCTGTGTTTGATTTCTTGGAATAGTCATATACCTTATATTATTTCTGTGTATGTCTGCGTAATATTTCTACTTGGTTGCATTATTATATAGCGCATTAAATACAATTAGAACCATTCTACACCGGATTGCGCCCTCGACGGTCCCACAGCATGAAGGCACCCCCCGACCCCAATTGCGCGAGCCTCGGGTTTACGGGCTCAGGTTAAGTGGCCATGCAAATTGCTAATCGTCTCTGTACCTAAGTTTTGCCGGATGATTCCAAGGCGTTCAGGGTTTGCTTGGGTTTAAAGTCGAACCACCCCAAACCCTACACCCCGTTCAGAAGCCCTTGGACACGGCGACCATCTGCTGGTACTCGTCCAACTTCTTGCGTCGGAACTCCTGGAGACTGGCGTTTCGGGCTTCGGGTTTCGGGTCCTTGGGACTCAGGGTGTTTTGGTGCTGAGGGGCTCGAGGTTTCAGGTCCGTTGTTAAAGCTGTTGCGGCCCCCCTTAGGTTTGGACTTAAGGGCTTGGGTTTCAGGTTCCCAGGATTGTCCTAGGGTTTAAGGCCCATCTGGGCGCGTTGCGGGCCCTTCACTGGCTTACGAGCCCTAAACCCCAAACCCCAAACCCAATATAAACCCTAAACCCTAAACCCTAAACCCTAAACCCTAAACCCTAAACCCTAGACCCTAGACCCTAAACCCTAAACCCTAAACCTAGTCCTTGGGTTCTGAGGTCCGGTTTTTTGGCAGAATGTCAGGGCCTCAGCGCGACGCTGATGTCGGGCGTGCTCGACTTCCGGCTGCGTTCGGGTCGATTTTCGCATATCACGAAGCTAAGTCTGCTACGCATAAATATGGGCATTTCCCCAATAGTGTCCCGCCAAGATACCCCAGAATACTAGAATTCTTACCATAGGAACCCCCAAAAAAGCAACCCCCTACTTTCGTAAGCCCCCAGATGGAAGGGTGCTAAACTAAGACTTCAGCAGGGACAACCAGCAGAGCAAGCGCCCATATAGGCATCAGAAGAATGCTCGTACCTTTGAGGCCTCGGATGCAGCGCAACACCTGGGAAGGATGGAGAGGGCCACGCCGCAGAGCCCCCTCGCGCGAATTCCGAACACCAGCCGTTTGCCAGGCCCGAACCCTTCTGAACCCAGACGCTGCATATAAACCCCCCAACCCCCTCCCACCCTAAACCCTAAACCCTAAACCCTAAACCCTAAACCCTAAACCTTGAAACCCCAAAACCCGAGCCCGCCAGCTGCCCAGCTTGCTCCTTCTCTGCAGCCTTGCGTGTCAAGGCGGAGACTTGCTCGTCCACCTGAGACCATGGAGTGCTAGGTGTGTAAGTTTCGAAAAAAGGGCTCTAGGGTCTTGGGGTTGCGAGCCTCCCGGCGTACCCTGAGCTTCATGGATTTGGGTCTTAGAATCCGTTCTAGGGATGGCAGGTTCCATATACAGGAATGCATTATATGCATACTGGACACTTATAAGCATCTTCCGAGTAACTCCAAAAGCTCTACATGGGTTGCATGGGCTCCTGGTTTGAGACCAGCCCCCGAAGCGATTCATAAAAATAGGAAAAAGTGAAGATAAGAAACAAAGTTATAGTATGAAACGAAGATCAGAGTATAAGAAGAATTTTAGACACTCGTCTAACCCCTCAGTATAATTTCATGATTATGTATCTAACAATATACCCAATATACTCAAACAAGATGGCCACATAAATAAGGTGACCAGACAATAAAGTAATAACACGCCAATATATCCACACATCTCAGAATATGGGAGTATGTTCATAGATTAATATAAAACATAAAAGCCAAATGCAATACGACAAAGATGCAATACTACAACTCCTCGAAGCTTCTCAAGGGTTTTTGGGCTTTTGGGCATTTAGGTTTTGGGGCCCGAGGGTGTTGGTTAGGAGCGGCTTTTGGTCTGTGACCATGGGCCTGGGCTATGGTGTAGGGTTGTTGGGTATAGGGTTTAGGGTTGAGGATATGCATTCTGAAGCCCCATTAGGTCGTTCGAGGACCGTCTCTTTGCTGAAGCTTGAGGGCTCAGGGCTCGACGGGCTACCTCCACAGCAGACGCCTAGTTAAGATCTGCAGCAAGTGCACGACTTCCACAAGATACAAAATGCGAGTGCCCCTTAACGTCTGACGAGCCGCTGACTGCTTCGCCCGCTCGGCTTCGCTCAGTGGCTTACAAGTCCGCCGGTGGAACTTCCAGTCTTGCTTCTGACATTCTTTTGAACCTCAAGTAAAGCGTGCGACTCACTCGGCTCAGCTCTTAGAACAGGCCATCTAAGAGAGGGTTTAGGGTTTAGGGTTTAGGGTTTAGGGTTTAGGGTTTAGGGTGGGAATCTGAGAAAGGAGCAGTAGATTGCCTTCGTACAGCGCCCACAGCGCAGCTTCGAGGACTGGATTCCACTTGCACAGTTCCGGCACCTCAGTGACTTGGAGAGCGAACGCGAGTTGTCTAATGAACCCTCGACCCGAAATGGGTTTGGGGTTTGGGGTTTAGGGTTTAGGGTTTAGGGTTTAGGTGCGTGCGCAGCGGTCGCAGAAGTTCGAGAGCAAGTGGCTCGAGGATTTTCTTGGGCCTCTGTGGAACCTGCCATGAGCGCTCTTGTACGGGGTTGAGAGGCGTGAGCTCTTCATTGCAACTTGACAATAACATGAGAATTTATATAAAGTACTATAATAACATGATCGTATGATAATGTGAGAGTATACAAACACAGAAGAGCAGGTCTTCAAGCCTCAATGTCCTTCTCGGTCAACTCCGGATACTTTGGATCAGCATCCTCGTCACTCTCATCCGCCACTGCAGCCGTGAAGCCTTGGATGAGCAGAAGCGACAAGGACTAACGAGTCTACTGTCTAAAGCTTCGCACTGGAAATTGGCTGCTGACGGCTAGCGGCCCCTTCCAAAGAAGTGCTGACCCCCTCAACCCTCAACCCTCAACCCTCAACCCTCAACCCTCAACCCTCAACCCTGTGCGGCCAAAGCTGCGGCTGTAGTCAAGCTGCCTTTGGGTGCCATCGCCCCACACGCAAGGCCTGCAACTCTTCAAAGCCAAGGTAGACCATTCGTGCCCGGCCGATGTGTTCCCAAACCACAGTGCACAGGTCTGAGTGCTGAAGAACCCCACAACATAACAGACAAAACAGTATTCGCAAGCGACTAGTGGTACCTTTTGCCAGCTGTCAGCAGAGCAAAACTGTGCAACCTCAAAGCCATTAGGAAGACTCGTAGAAGCATGTGCGCAGCTTGTCTGCAGGAAAAAGAGCCTTACTGAATTCTGATGGACCCCAGACACCTGTAGGTACACATTATTCCTGTGCTTGTGGTAAAAGGTTTCTGAGGACACATTAAGTCATATTAAGGCAGCGGTCAGCCTGACGACTCCTTAGCTGTTTAGGTTTAGGGGTTACTTGCACCCAGATGTTTAAGTTTCAATTCAAGGCCTCATGACTCATAACCCTTCTACACCCTCAACCCTGAAGACACTCCGCGCAGTCGCCCCCTTCCCCCACCCCCCCCCTCCCCCACCCGCCCCCGCTCCCACAATGGTACTCAGTTGGCCCCAAACCTGCCACGAACACCCTAAAACCTAAACCCACCCCAGAGGGAACCTTAACCCTGAACCCTGAACCCTGAACCCTGAACCCTGAACCCTGAACTCACCACGAACCACGGGGGGGAGGGGAAACCCTAAACCTTTTGCAAACCTAACACGCTAAAGCCACCATGACTTACCGCGGGGGGCCAAGTGAAATCCCTAAACCCTACAGCCTAACCTTACCATCTAAGCCTTAAACCCACCATGAACCACGGACCATGAGCCACAGGGAGGAGGGTGGGAACCCTACATCCTAATTTGTGGTTCATTACTTCGTTCATACATCATTAGTGGATTTCGTGCATTAATTTACAAATCCCCAAGAAAATGTTCTCTTCGTAGTAATACTAAAATGGCCATCAAATGAATATAACTACCTATAAAGTAGTAATAGAATACATGCGGGGAACATTGCAATTTTACTATTAAGGGCCGCCTTTACCGCATTATTATTAAGACTATCTACAGAGCAAATTAGCCGTGCGCATGAACAGCCCTTTTAGATCCAGGCCTCTGAAGTCTGCTGGGTATGACCGCTCTAAACCCTAAGGCCCTAAATCCTGATTCCTAAACCCTAAAAAGCCCGAGATAAAAGATTACCTGAAAAATCCCGTGAAAAAAACCGTGTTTTCTCCGCGCGGCCAGGAATTCACAGGTCGGGCCCTTCATTTAGTAGATTATGAACGAATGAGGGGAAAGTGAATAATAATCACAATAAGAAAAAATGACAAAAACAAATAATGAAAATAAAAAATAATGATAATAGTAAAGGCCGCTAGTAACAAACAAAAGAAAGAAGCGGCCGCATTAAACGAACGGGATATTACAATTATTGGGCTGCTATCCGGCGTGAAGAAATGATCGCTACCTCCGGCCCATTCATGATATGATTTTCTCGCGATAGAAAAGATTCTTATGAAATGAAGGAGACCTAAACCAAAAACCCCACCATGAACCACAGGAGGGGCAGGGGGTGATACCATGGGGAGAGGGGGGAAGCGTGAATGCGGGCTCATGAACTACTATTTGCCTAAGAACCCCGAAAGAATAAAAATGAAAATGATCCCTAGATTCCCCTTCTCAGGAGGAATATTCCTCCTTTTTTTGGGGGGTTCTTAATCAGCAATTAGTGGTAAAAGGGTTGGCCCTTACACTGAACCCCTTTGCAAAAAAAATATCGTCCTGGACAAGCTCATATAGGGCGCCCCAACCCTAAACCCTTTTGCAGCAGGCTTGCAGAAGGTCCTCGCCTGGTGAACCCTTTTTGCAACTGGACTCCTTGCTGCCAGGATGCCGAAACTCTTGCCTGGTGAACCCTAAACCCTAAACCCTAAACCCTAAACCCTAAACCCTCAGCTGGCCTCTCGGTCATCTTTGGCACATCCAACTCTGTTGGCTCCTCGGCGGCTGCATTGGCCACCACGCCTGGCAGCCGGCCCTACCCTCTCGGGTTTAGGGGGGGTAGGGTTTAGGCTAAACCCTAAACTCCCTAAACTCCCTAAAATCCCTAAACTCCCTAAACTCCCTAAACTCCCTAAACTCCCTAAACTCCCTAAACCCTAAACCACCTCACCAGGGTTCAGGGTTTGGGGTTCGGAGTTTTCGGCCACCCGCCTCAGGGCACCTGGGGTCTAGGGCCTGCATGGGCCTGAGGGCCTTGATGGACTGGTGAGACTTAAGTTTAGGGCTCTCGAAGGTCCGGTAAGACCTTGGTGGGGGGGAGGAGGCTCAAGGTTCAGCCTACTCTGCAAGAGGAAGAGCCATTTTGCTCTCCTTTAGAGGAGCGGGTGCCCCGACCTCATCCTCATCACTTCGCTACCTTCTTCTTCTTCTTTCTCAGTAGGGCGTCTGAGGCTGCAGTTCGTGCCCAAAGGCCTGCAGTAAAAGCCTGCGATCTAGCCCTAGCCCACAAGCCGTTGAACCTAGAGGTCTGATATTGAGCATTGCGATGGCAGCGGCATGGGCAATGGCTTCTTCGCAACCAGGCTGGGGTTTTGGGTTGCAATGTTTAAGGGTTCAAAACACACACCGAAACCCTCAAACCCGGAACCCTTTTTGCCCTAAACCCTAAACCCTAAACCCTAAACCCTAAACCCTAAACCCTAAACCCTAAACCCTAAACCCTAAACCCTAAACCCTAAACCCTAAACCCTAAACCCTAAACCCTAAACCCTAAACCCTGCACTGTTGGCTGAACAATGCGGCCTTGAGGGGCCCGGAACACCAGCCGAAGCAGACGGCGCGGACAAAGGGCCCCTGCCCAGCATGCGCCTCAGTGCGGGGAGGTTTGGACTCAAGTAACAAGGGTTTAGGGTTTAGGAGTTTAGGGTTTAGGGTTTAGGGTTTAGGATGGTAGGGCTCGGGGTTCGTAGGGCCGTGCTGCAAAGTACGCGGCAGGCAAGGACACAACTTGCAAAGCAAATGAGGTGCGCGGCCACTTTTGAGAAGCATCTCCCATAGTGATGCAACAAGTACATACAGGGATATGCATGGCACGGCTCAAGTTAAGCCTGCGTTAGCTTGTGATCTAGCCTCTGCCTATAGGAGCTGATGATCGAGTATGAGCCGCACAAGCAGGAGTCCTATCTGTGCTGTACATGGATCGCAAGCGGGAACACCCAACCATCTCTGTGGAATCCAGGGTGAACGGCTATGGTTGGAGTCCAACAGGCAATGTGCCGTTAGGTCCTTCCTCCCAACAGCTCACGCGTCCGCTCTGCTCGGGTGTGCTGCCCCACGCCTCCTCCAAAGCAGCCAGAACCGCCTCGTGCGTCTTCATCTTAAGAAGCTTCTTGATATTACCCAGCATCCCGCGTCGGATCAATATCTCTTTCGGGGCGGCCTTGGCCAAGTTTTCCAGGATTTGTCGTTTCGGCAAGACTCTGGCCCTCTCCAAAGGTATGAGTACAGCATCTGGCTCAGCAGGGCCCAGCTTGCCGCAATGCCAAGATCCCAGGGGTAGCTCCACGGTATACTTGAAGTTCATGTACTCCTGTAGGTGCGGATCATTTTGGATGCAATCCAGGACAGCAACTGCTCCTTGCACCAGGACTTCGCTCTTTCCATCCATCAGCACAACGACTCGCTCCTTGATTCCCTTATTCCTTCGGCTGATGTTGATGCGGCAGCCCGTGGTTGTCTGAATCTCAGTGAGGTGGGCTCCACCAAGTCCAAGTATTCGGCCAGCAGCAGAGTCTGGAACCACAAGCTTGAGGACAAAGTTCTGATTTGCCTGTGTGCATCCCGTCCATGCTTTCAGCATCTCCAGGACGACCGTGTGCAAAGCAAAGGCGAAGCTGATCTTTGTTGCAGCTACGATGGTCAGCATGCGGTCTTGCGTACCTGGAAAGAAGACATCGACGCCAGACATGTTCATGTTCGACTGAGTCAACTGCTGGAAACGATGCATGTTCTTTCCCCGCTTGCCGATCAGTGCTCCTGCGAAGTAGGATGGCACAAGAACCTTGCAACGGAACTCTGCAGAAGAAGGCAGCTTCGGGATCTTGTCACGCACCTCAGGGTCGTCAGGGTCCTGCGAGACGTAGTACGGGTCGATCACGACATCAACAGGTAGCTCGGTCCCGGCTTCATCCAGCGAAACTTGCGGGTAGAACTCGGCGTCTTGCTGAAGCTCGGAAAGCTCCCAGAGGCCCTCGAGGATCTCTGCTTCGACATCAACATGGAAGGACATTGCTGTTGGGATGGAGGGAGGCTGCTCCAGGAATGGACTGCGACACCGACGTAAGGGTGTTGGGATACTGTTGTTTTCAGGGCTTCGGCTTAGGGCTTAGGGCTGAGGGTCTGCATGCTCACACACTCAAAACACGCTGACAGCCGAGGCAAGCAGAGTGATTCAGCAGGTCCTTCTGTAGCTAAACTAGGGACAACATGAAACAAGTGCAGTCAGTGATACACTCCGGCACGAAGAATGGGCGGGAGCCCGGTTGGTAGAACCATTTAGGGCTTGAGTGCCCATACTGTCTTTTTTGTCATTCTTCATTACCACCGACAAAACAGCCAAGACGCGCATTCCGGGAGCACGGTGATCCACAGAAGCCATGCCAATGCACGGCTGATCTGCTTCCAATACTCAAGATTGTATGATGGATCCCATAAGCATCACAGCATGCTTCCTCGAAATGTCTCAACATGCCTTGTTAACATGGCGTGTCCTTGTGCGCTCATGGCTGGGCGGCTAGACTTGGTATGAGCAACTAAGACTCATTGCTTCCTGGCCTGTCTCTTGACATGTACGTAAAGCCATGACACTGGAGTGGCCACGTACGAGTAAGTGGCAGAATTTGCAAACCACCGGGCACAGCACATGTTTGACAGCGCGAAACTTTCATTTACATGTCTGCCACCTCTTGGAGAAGAAAGATGCAGCCACCCCTGCCCCGCCTTGTCAACGCGATGAGACCCGTCTTGCTTGTAGAATAAGAATAGGTCTCAGCTGGAGGAGTTCTCATACCATCGATGCTGCCTTAAAGAAAGCGCGAGCGGAGACTGATGTTCGGCTCTCTGACTGATACTTCCTCTTCCCCTCTGCGCAGTGCAGCATGTGATGGTGATAGGCCGGCGCAACGCGGCATCGACTTTTTCAGGGTGGCTCTGCCTTGCTGTACATGCAGCGGTCGGCTGCGACCCACGACCGAACCTCTCACAAGTCCAACCCCGCTGGAACAGCCTGGCGGGAGCGCAGAGGCTCAAAGAGCGGGGGGTCCAAGAAACAAATCTCCTCCCCAGCACACTAGCTGACCCTCCCCTGAAAACTGGCCCACTGTAGGACTACTAAAATATCAGGCAAAGATGTTTCCCCACATTACGGGAGTTCCTTGATTTCGCACCTGTGCAGGCAGCTGGCCACCAGGGGGTGGCACGTAGCCACCTTCCTGCACTTGGGTGCGTTGAGGGATTCTTTGTGCCACCCGCCTAGCTGACTTTGAGGCCACATTGAGGGGGTTTAGGGCAAGGGATCCGCCGACCCTGGCGGCGTGTTGGACGGGGTTGGGAGGTGAAGCGCAGGGGAAACCGCCGAATCCAGACCCCGCATCAACACAGAACGCTGAACCGCCTGAACCATTTCTCCTGGCTTGAGCCGGAGGCTCTGATGGGTGGGAGTTTATGGCATAGGGCAGAAGGTTGAGACATTGGTGTTCATGATCCCGGGCGCATGCTATCACACCAGAGCCAGTCTTCAAGGTGCCCTATGTATCCATGGCGCACAAACCCTATAAGCCCTTTTGCAGCAGGCTTGTGGATCTCTGTATCGGCCTACACGCTCAACCCCACACCCAAAGCCCAAAACCCTAAAACCTCAATTCTAAACCCTCAACCGCTAAACCCAAGCCTTTCACAACCCTTAGCCCCCGTGCCCTAAACCCACTCGTGAAGGCGCCTGGACAAGCGGGGCCTGACCGGGGGGAATCTCTGTAGGCGGCATCAGCTCGCGTATCTTCTCCTTACAAGTAAGGGAATTTTCAAGGTTTGGGCATTTGGTCTGGGGTTTAGGGTTCCCTCAACACTACCCGGCACAATCCTCGAAGGGATGACCTTAAGAACCAGTGATTCTTCTTCGGACTCCAAGGCTGGTTCGGCGTGCAAGGCAGGGAACCAAAAGCCCCGAGGTCGCGACGATGGATGATGTAGGGCTTTAAGGTTTAGGTGGTTTCTCATCAAGATCTTGAACCTCTACTAAGTTTCCGACCTTGGCTCTCGTCATGACATGGCCCCCCCATGTTCAGCCCCCCCATGTTCACCCCCCCCCCCCCCTTCCAAATCTCAACCCACCCCACCCCCCCACCCCGCTAGAGGAACCAACGCTGGTGCCGCGGCGCCTCAATTTTAACGAGGCGGTCCCTCTTGGTCTGCAGCACTTGCAGGTTGTCCTGGGAGCAGGTCTAGGGATGTCTAGGGTTCAGGGTTTAAGGTTTTAGGGGGTTCAAAGGAACCAAGCGTTTGGTCAGGGCCGGTGGTGTCTCCGACAATTTTTGAAGCATTTCGGGAAGCCCCCTGAGACCCTTTTTTGAATCCAGACTCTGAACCAGCTCAGCTGCTTAGGGTGCCCTGTGTTCAACCCCAACACCCAGATGTGCCCAGGCTCGGCGATCGCTTCTCTGAAGTCTGCATCCTCTTCCTTCTCCTCGGCTTCCCGGTAGTCTAGGAATATAAACATAAAATAATGCCTGACTTCTAGCGCCCAACGCATTTTTGAAAGCGATCTGGGCCGCGAGAGAAGCACTTGAGTTAGACCCCTATACAGTATCGGCCATAGAGCACACGTGCATTTTCGGAGAGACGAGGGCCCCCACTATACCTAGAACAGGTCAAAAGTAGACTCTTATGGTCTAGGACCTGACCCGTGGAACCATCCGAAACCCGTCAAAAAAGGTACTACTTGGGCCTCCCAGTCTCCAGTTCTTCCTTCAGCTCGCGATTGGAGCGTTCAAGGTGCTGAATGGTCTGCTTCTCATACGCCTTCTGTCCGGAAGTTGCACGGCTTTGCTGCATCGGGGCTTTGATTCAAGATGCATGTGGATATTTAGAAGTGAATATAATTATGTGTTTAAGTATGTCAGCATCCGCCTAGCTCACGCACTGCGGGGCTCCCTTCGAGTCGGGAAATGCCTATTGAGCTCAAAGATGGAAGCACTCAACTGCGCAGATTTCAGGACACGGGATAGAGGAAGTTGCAACAAGGTGGTCAAAGGCTTCGATACAAGGGGACCACTGGTTTAAACAAGCAAAACCCACACCCTACCAGCCACCCTCGAACAGTGTCCTCCATTGCCCGAAGCTCATGTATGTTGTCTGGCAGGCCGTCGTCGTCCGTGCGGCGCGGTTCCAGCCGAGCGTGGATGCCCCGCTTTGGGATGTGGATCTGTGACAAATGGCAAGTCTGATTCAAGGGTCGCAAACCCTCAACCTTCCCAGGCATGAGCTGATGTGAACGAACCCCCCCTCCTCTCCCCACCAGCCTCCACCATCGCTGGCCGACACTACAGGTGCGGCTAGCAAGCTATCTAACTTATTGAACTTAGAAGCCTCGATCAAGCATAAGCCTCCAAAACCTCTAGGCCTTAAACCCCAACCCGATGTGGAAACCCTACAAACCACAAGACATTTCATGCCATTGCCACGTCGACTCACGGGTACGATATAGACACCAGGAGGTTTACGAACATAGGGGACCCGAAAGTAGACCTTATAGAAAGGACCCCGATAAGGTACCCCCAAAAATCGCAAACCCCCACCAGGATTCAGGGGCTTTAGGGGCTCTAGGGTCGATCTTCCCATGAAACAGAGTGATGTCAAGGAAGCCATGAGAACCTGCGAGCCATTGGTCGAACTTGGCGCGGATTTCGACAGAGCACCGGAAGCCAAAAGCTCTTCAACAAGAAGCTCAGAAACCCAAATATCTAAACCCTGAAAGTTCAAAACGAAGGCCCAGTATCGGTAGAGTCAAACAGAACTGCAGTTCCTCGGGGGCGCCCCAAATGTTGTGACGACGCTGTGGTTTCGGGGTTGGTTATTTCGGTCTGCGGGTCAGGGTTCAGGGCTTTTGTTAAGGGTTTGGGGGCCTAAATGGCCGAGACTGATAAGCCCTAAGCCCTGAAACCGCCGAAGCTTCTCGGTGGACTCATGATACGCAGCTCCTGTCCCTCGTAAGCCAGCGACTGATGTTGATCACACTGGCGGGATGTCCTGGGCTCTGGGCAGCCTGGGCAAGGAGTCGAAGCTAATGTGGTGGCCTCGGGCCTCTCCGTCGTGGGGAAGAAACTGCACGTGGCACACAAAGCTGCTCTGTGCCTCCAGCATGGGCAGGCACAGCTTCGTGAGATGGAACGGTGAGGTGACGTTGATTCGAAGAATCTCGTCAAAGCCTTTCCTTAGCTGCCCTACTCCGTTGGTCTTCTTCAGTCCACTTACAGGTTTTGCACAGGGGCATAGGGGTCCCCTTTTCAGGTTGCGTCGCAATATTTACGGCACCTGATTCTTTATTGCCCCCTGTTTAGTGAGGATAGAACCCAGATCTTCCATTCAAGAATGCCTGCCGAGCGGCTGCACGTCAAAAGACTCGAAAGGTTCGCCCCACGCCTTGACTTTGGGTTTACAAGGCTGATACGGGGCCTTTGTTTGGTTTCAGGATGTCTCTGGGGTTCGCTGTGGCGCTTGGGAACTCGGATTCGGGTGCATCCGACCCTCTCCAAGAGTCACGCTTGCAGCTTCGACCTTTAACCCATAATAATATTAATAATCATAATAATAAGAAAAATTAAAATAAAAACAATAATAATAATTATTATTATTATATTATGATTAATTCGCAGCAGGAGCTGGTGCCTTGCCACTGTTGTTGACCAGCGCGTGAAGCTTGCCTGCAGCAAGGAACGCCAGCTGACCAAGCGCTGCCCAATGCGCCATGCTTGTCGTAAAAAAAGAGTCATAGAAATAACAAATATAAAAACAACAAAACAGTATCAATCATGATAGTAATAAGACTAATCGTACTACTAATTATAATAATCATAATAATCATCATAATAATAAGAATCATAATAATAAGAAAAATAAACATAATAAGAATTATTATTATTGCAATAGTCACCATAATTAATCACAATGGGTGTCCCTGGGTTGCCCTCCGGCCTCCAGTGAGCTCCTTTACCTGCTTCGCCAGCGCCTGGCTCGGCCAGCAGTTCGTTCGGATGCTGGGTTTAGGGCTTCTAGCGTCTTAGGGTTCTTGGGGTTCAGGGCCTCCGGATTCTGGCAGATTCAGGGTCCTTTCAGTGTGCTCCTCCTCTCGGGCGCCGCAAGAAACGATGTTCAGGTGCGGTTTCCTCTGGCTCCTGACCGGCCCTGCTGCTTCTGGAGCGGTCAAGACACTTCCGCTCATGTTCTGCATCCGTGGGATGCTCCTTGCACGCACTACTCTACAGACTCTACACAATGCCTGGAGGACGACAAAAGTCAACTTTGTCTTAAGCTGGTGGAGACGGCTGGAGCGGCATCCATGGCGAGAGCATCCCCCAAGACAGAATCCTGCAAGAGTTGCTACGGCACGGGGAGTGCAAGAAGTTCGTGCACCTCTCAATCTCAGTTGCTCAACTTCCAGGATGATGTTTTTGGCGCCAGTCTTCAGTGGTGTGCCAGCGGTTACGGTGGCTGTGCCAGGGCTTGCCGGTACCACTGATCTCATCAGCTGCGCAATGCGGCTCAGGGCCGCTGGCCCGTGTGCCCAGCAGCTGGTTTTCGGTCAAGGAAGCCTCCAAGCTCTCCCAGCAGTCTTACATAGTTCCTTGCCCAGTTTTCTAGTGGGAACTGCTTAGTCGACTATTATTGTCAACTTAAAAGCCCTGCGCCTCTTTGAGTCCGAAACCCTACTGTGCCCAAGCACTTTACATCCCTCCATCAACAGCCCTTGGCTGAACTCCCCAATCCTGAACTCCCGAACAAACCTCGAGCCCGAAACCGCAAACTACCTAACCCTGAAACGTAAACCCTACACTCAAACCCTGCAGCCCGACCTCGATCCCGGCGGCGGTCGCCAGGTCGCTACCAAAGGCCACGCACTTGCCCTTGCCCAGCGCGTTCAGACCTGGGCCCGACATGGAAGGCGTAGTCGGGAAGCGTGAGGGTTTGGGTTTACGGTTTTCTTTGGGGTTCGGGGTTGAAATAGGTTTGGAGTAGGCTTGTGAGGCCCGGGCTTCAAAGATATTCAAGAACCCCTGCTGAACTCTGAACAGCCCTACATCCCTAAGTCCCAAAACGGCTGTAAACCCGGTAAACCCCCACGCCCTGCAATCTGAAACACTCAGCCCCCAGATCGGACCTTTCTTCGTCATTGGATGTTCTTTAAACTTTAAGGAGGTTCTACCATCTTTTTGGCGGGTATATACAGATTCGAGGCGGTATATACAGAGTCGAGGGTTCCTCCCCAAGTCCTATAAACCTTGTGAACTTGGAAGCTGCTTCATGCCAGGACCCACAGAGTTCTTACCATCATCTTTTGTGCCTGCAGAACTCCATGCCGCCAGCTGGCTACGGCAAGAAACGCCATGACCCCACCGACACGGCTACGCACCCTATTCAAAGCCTAAACCCTAAACCCCGAACCATAAACCCTAAACCCAGAACCCCTAAACTCGCAGCACACCCAAATCCGCCTAAAGCCCAAATCCTATTTTTGGCTACTACCCTACATGCCTAATTACAACGCCTACCCCAAAACCCGCCAAAATCCCTAAACCCTTAACATCCCGAAAATCCCTATAGAATCCCTATGACCCCAAGAAATCCCCCCCCTCTGAGTCCCCCGGCGCGCGGCGGTCGCCTCGCATTGCTTAGCATCCCTGGAGCTGATGATGACGAAGCAGCCGTTCACTACCAAGCCTGGCGTTGGGTTTAGGGTTTAGGGTTTAGGGTTTAGGGTTTAGGGTTTAGGGTTTAGGGTTTAGGGTTTAGGGTTTAGGGTTTAGGGTTTAGGGTTTAGGGTTTAGGGTTTAGGGTTTAGGGTTTAGGGTTTAGGGTTTAGTTTTTTTTTGGGTTTAGGGTTTAGAGTATAGGGTTTAGGGGCCTGGCTTTGGGTGGTCGTGATTACCCCTTTTTGCATACAGGCCAAGGAGACTGCCGGGTACCGGGGGCCGAGCTCTTCCGAGGGCCAAGCAACTTCCTATCTGCAGAAATAGTTTCGATGTACAGAAATCCCTAAACCCGAACTATCAACCCTTCTAAACCCCAAGCCCTAAACCCGAAACCCTAAACCCCTAACCCCTCACTGAGTCAATAATAGGGTTTGAGGGTTTGAGGGAGGGTGCAGATGGGTTTGGAGTCTATAGGTTTTGCTGCCACCTGCACAGCTGGACGGACCACTCCGCAGTCGGTAGGTTTGAGGTTTCGGGCCTAGGGGTTTAAGATTTAGGGTTTGCTGTACTACGGTGCAGAAGCTGTGAGGGTCGGGATGCAGACTAGCTTCGGCTGCTTGCTGACATGCGAGGAGCAGCCATGGGAAAAATCGTGGACTTTCAGGGTTTCAGCCTAATCCGTCCAGCAGTTGGGGGGCCCCCAAGGCAGAAGGCTAGCAAAGTGTTCAGAAATTGAGGTGGGGACCGGCACTTCGCAAAACCAACTTTTGGGCTGAACTGGTCAGAGGCCCCGTGGTCCCTGCAATACCCCGGGGCTCGCTTGGCCCGGGGCTCCTTGGGTACCCAGCCAGGTCCAGGGTCCAAGCATTCCCTATCACAGACTCCACTACCGCGCCCATCGTGAGAGCTACCGACCTCCTGGCTGTGGGAGGCCGGCGAGCGAGCTGGGTCGGCTTGCGCCGTTAGGTTTTTGGTGGGAGCGGGCTCTTCACTGCCTAAGTCTCTGACACGGTGTACCACACTTGCAAACCGACTGTGCGGCTACATCAAACATCCGCAAAGTAGGAATCGGGTTGTTGCAGCCCCGCGGGGGGATTTGGGCCATATGGGGAACATGCCGGAAGCTTCTGCTGTCACAGGCCAAAGAGCACCCTGACCGTGCTCTCGTACTCTGCCTAGTCCTCCCTGAAACGTATACACCCATTTTGATCAACCTCCTGCCTTCTGCGATCATCTCACCGATGCCGCGCCCACCACCGGTGACCAAAACATTCTTGCCGGCCTCAGAGTATCCCGGTCCAGGCTGCTTATGCCACCCGTTCCAGGCTTTAGGATTCGGGGGTTTGGCAGCGCAGTGCAACCATATCTATGGCCTGGAGAGAAGCCCTCACGGTCAAAGACGCGCATCCACGGAGAAGCCACCACTGCAGTTAACGGTATGCCCACAGCCACTTGTGGAGAGACATGATTCAGGGGTCAAGGTTTACAACTGCAACCAAAAGGCCACCCCAAAGAGGTCACTCAGCTCCATTGCACAAGCCCTTCAAAAACTGCACGGCTGTGAGAAGCCCAGCGGCTGCAGCGACCGAGAGGGTTTAGGGTTCAGGGTTTTTTGGGTTTAGGGTCGCCAAAGTGGCGACAAGAGAGCCCAAACTCCGGTATGCAGAGGGAGTTCTAGGTTACCATGGTATTTGGTTCGGGCTTAGTATAAGCCAGGCAGCGCCCCCCCCCCCCCCACCCCGCTTCCAAGTTTGGTGCTTTAAGGCATCGATCTCCTGGAGCAACAGGTATCTATTACCGGAGCCAAAGTAGTTGCCAACATTATTCCTCCCCTCAAAAAATAGCACCCGGCAGACTCAGCGTCGTGTCGTTCTCTTACACGCGACTAAGAAAATCATTTTGTAGGTGTAGGCCATCTTTCCGCCCTGAACTGTAAGGACAGAACCCTAACCCCTACACCCTAAACCGTCCAGAGCCCGAAGCCCTCTAAAGCCGAAACGCGCCTGGTTTTTTGGGGTGGGCTTCCCATCTCAAGGGGTTTGACGCTTCGGAGCCTCCAGCTCCAGTCGCACGCCAAACTGGTCCGCCAGGCCCTCCAAGGCATAAGCCTGAGCTTAGGTGAGGGATGGTGAGGGCTTGGGGGGCTTTAAGGGCTTTACGTGTTGGAGTTTGAGGTTTCTACAGGGTTCAGACTGATTTGATTTGTCTGCGTTGCGTGGGTATGTTACCCGCTGCGGTTCTCCATCAACCCCCCCCCCCCCCCCCCCCCCCCCGCCCCCTCCCCAAACGCGGGCAGGTCGATAAGGACAGGGCCGCATGCTCCGCTGGAAGGACCTTGCATAGTGCGAGGCGTGTGCAGCAGCAACTACTTCAGCGCCAAGTACGACCAGTAGCCCGACACATCATGTTAGATCAGGGCACTCTCTTCCCTCCAGTATCTCTACATAGAGACACAGCACAGTCTCATGGTTTTGCTGCGCAGGGATGATGTTGGACTCGCGTTAGCAAAAAAAAGGCCCCCTCTACAAAGTCAAGTGTGCCGGGCTATTCAGAGTCCGTTAGGAAGTCAGGCCCTCCGGGCGTCGCAAAAAATTTTCGTGGCGCGCCCTTCTACATCAATTTCCGTGCCTTTCTTGGGGCGGAGGAGTGGGTACTCTGACATCTCCACACTGTAAAAAGGGGTGTGGTGTTCTGAGATGCTCTGAGGGCCCCAGTGTCAACATTCTCGCCGCCTGGCCTGCTGACCCGGCAGCAAGGCGCTCGTCCAAACCTGGCCGGGGGCAGGGGGCGGGGGGGAAGCTGTGCAGCCATGCGGTCCTCTATATGTCCCTCGACCTCCTTCCCCACAACCCAAGGAAAGTCGACATCTAAACTTGCAGCGTGCAATAGAAACCCAGGAAACTGAAAATCATAGACTCGAACCGACTCAGCATGGCGATGGAGGGCAGATGGCTCCGACCTCAGGCGTGAATGAAAAGGCTCCAGGGATCATCAGGGATCTACTCGGGGTACCGAGGGCTTAGCATTCGACCAGTGCATTAAGAGAGGCTTATCAGTGATGCTAAGAGAGGCTTATCAGTGATGCTATAAGGCTAAGAGTTGATAGAGCCTAAGGGAAGCTTTAGTTGTCGGAATTGGGCTTTATGTGGCGCAAGGGGCCAACAACTGAACTCTCTTTAAGTCTCTCGCATTTCGACAAGCCCCTTTCGGTTCCGCCTAAACCTGCCCTGACCCCCGAACCCTTTTTGGCACAACAAGAAAAGCACAGGCCCGGGTACCCAATCAGCCACATGCACATGTGGCAACGCAAACTGTACTATAAAACTAGACAAAAATAGGAGAAGGAGAAGGAAAAGTTGAAGGGTTTCGGCTCTCGCACTCGCAGGATTCGGTCCGAAAGTCTGACTTATGGCACTCCACAGGGAGTCCTGCGCTCTCACCAGGGAGAAGGTTCTGGTTTGGGGTTGTGTTCCAGGTTTGGGTACCAATAATAAGGTGCTGGGATGTTGTCCTCAACTTGCTCAATGCAGGCATGGCATGCCTCTTTTTCATGTCCCCGAGCGCGCGCATGCATCGAGCGCCGGCGACAAGTAGGGCGTCAAAGCATCTCGGCCCCGCCCCACCCTTTCTAAGCCTGAGCTCTATAAACGCTGTGAGTCGAGGCCGAGCGCTTGGGAGGTTCCCTTAGTCACCAAGTCCGGCTTTCTTTGCTTTGAGCTAAGAGCAGACAGTGACCTCAAGCCGGCACGGAAACTGCGGGGCGCAGGGCTGCGGATGTCTTTGGGGCCTTCTAGGGGTTTCGGGGCTCCCCAGGGGTGGTTCTGCCGTCAGCATAGGAGGGGCACCCCTTTTGCGGGGATTCTGTACCTAACACAGGAGCCCTGTTGAATTAGTGTGTATCTATGATACCCTAGACCCCAAACCCGAAACCCTAAACCCTACACCCTAAACCCTAAACCCTAAACCCTAAACCCTAAACCCTAGCATAAGTATGATCGGATATACGTGTGAGGTCTCGATGGGAATGATGGCAGTTCAGGATGCAATTATGTCCCCCTCTGTTGCCCTTTGAACGGATTCTAACTGCCTGCGAAGAAGCAGGAAGTTTAGAATGCTGAGCTGCAGGTATATGGCCATATATTGTAGAGAAGGTTCGCAGAGGGCGTCGGCTGCGACGAAGGGAAAGGGATCTCACGATGAGAGAGGTTGCCCAACAGACGGGAGGATCGCTTGCAAGCAGCTGGGGCTCGCAAAGGATGTGAGGATTATCGGGTTGATTGGGTTGAGTTTAGGGTTTAGGGTTGAGGGTTGAGGGTTGAGGGTTTAGGGTTTAGGGTTTAGGGTTTAGGGTTTAGGGTTTAGGGTTTAGGGTTTAGGGTTAGGGTTTAGGGTTTAGGGTTTAGGTTTAGGGTTTAGGGATTAGGGTTTAGGGTTTAGGGTTTAGGGTCTAGGGTCTAGGGTTTATCGGGTTGATTGGGTTAAGTTTAGGGCCACCAAGACTCGCTTGGCCATCCCGAGGCCCAAATTAGGTCTGGCCAAGCGAGCTGCACGATTCTCCTTGCGGTGAAGTCCTCTTACTCTCAGCCTTCACTTCTGATTGAAAAGACGGAATCCCAAACCTGTACATCGTCTGTGGCTCTGCTGCGACTAATGCGGGTTGAATTCGGGACTCATTGATGTGCAAACCTCATTTGATGGGCAAGCCAATGCGTCAGTTTCCTTTTCCGGCACCTGCAAACATGTACAGGGGCTTGACACCATCGCCGAATGCGACAAGAACTCCCGCCTCCCTCTTTGGTGTCGACACTCGGCAGACCTGACCATGAGCATACATCGGCTGTTCTATATCATGAAGAACTCCAGTATGCGGATGTGCATGCACGACCACTGCCACATTCAACAAAGATCAGGCAGGCTGGCTCACCTTGCAGATGTCTTGACTGAAAACCTGGGGCTCAGAATTTTGTATGCGTGGCTTCCCAGCGCCCCCATTACGGGGTCTCTCTTCTTGCAGCCAAAAGCTCCTGCCCAACAGGGTTGCTCAGACAAAAGCACCTATACTTGACACGGAGTGCAGACAAATATTTTCAACCCTAAACCCTAAACCCTAAACCCTAAACCCTGATGACAAAGGCAAAGGGCCCATCGAGCAACCATTGTGTGGGGCAGGTAGCAGACTTCAAAGGTTTTGTCTCCTGGTTCCTTCGGAACCGATGGATACTCGTCGCGCTGGGGCTGGCCCAGTCTTCCAAAAACATAGCATACACGGCAGGTGTAGTGTTCCAAGACATAGAACCATAAGGATCGGGCCATATAGTGTATGTGTGTGTGTGTGTGCGTGTTGGAACCAGCGGTCCTGCCACCGACTTGGGTGTCTCTAAGATCACGTGTGAGTTTCAATGGCCATCAAAGGCGCTGCTTGCAGTAGGACGATGCACGACCGGAACTACGAGCACATGAAGGGGTGCTAATGGGGGCTTTCTCATGGGCATCGTTGGGGCCATGCCAGGGACTGCGAGCAGCTCAAGGAACGGCATCGTCTGTATGAATTAATGCAGTAGCATGGATTAAAGTAGCAAGCTGGACAAACCGTGCTACCATCCAATGAAGAACAGCTGAGGGCGGGCCCAATCCGGGGGCTGACTCAAGACATTAATAACATGAACATGAACGGCAATCATTATCATCACCCTGAAGCAGGGGTCTGTCAGGTCGCCCCGGAATGGACAGGAGCTTTCTTTGACAGGAGCGCTTGATTTGCGCGGCTCCGCTCGCTGTTGACATGGAGGCGGCTGGGCGTACAGAAGCTGCAGGGCATGGCTGGGCCAAAACGTGCCCTGCCCGATCATTGTGCCTTGCATCATTCTGCCGCCCAGCTAAGAGTCCAGTTTCACCGTTAATTAGGCAAGCCATCAAAGGAATCCGTACACAAATTTGAGTTTTGGAGTATGCATGGGCGGGCCCAGAAGATTGCAGCGAAGGACGCCTGCGACGTGGTGCAAGGCTCTTGAGGATACAAGTTGAACCTCTTGGTCATCGAGCAGCTTTCCGTACTTCAATCATGTTAGGATGCCCTTTACAGGATAGAGCATGACTGTTCTCAAGATGCATTGGCGTCATTGGTATCTCTTGGGTACGTATGCATGTATCAAATGTTACAGTGCCGGCCTGTCCCGTTCTGCAGATGCGGCGGCTGTGGCTTCACGACGTTGACAGATGGAGGGCCTTCTCGATCCGGGCCAGCTTCTGATACACACGGGTGACTGACAGGAGGTTCACTGTTCCATGCGCCTTCGTCAGTGCATCAATGAAGCTATCTCGAGTGACCATCTCACGAGGCTCATTGTACATCTGCGTGATCTCCTTGGGGAAGCCTTCCCATGCAGCCAGGAGCTCGTCCTTGTCCATGGCCAACATCTCACTCATCTCCTCGCAAACGTCATCCTTGTCTAAGAGGGCCTGGTAGTCCTTGAATGACATGTCGTCACGGCCGCCTGCCACGCTCGAGAAAGCCTTGTCCAAGCTCTTCTTGAGGAACTCATCTCGCTTCTTTGTTTCGGCTTCCTCGACTTCCTTTTCGTGGTCCTCGGCTGCTGATGCCATCTTGTCTGCCACCACACCTGTCAGCACAGACAAGATCGCAAAACTTGTGAAGATCATGTAGCCGGCTGCGAAGACGAGAGTGGCTGGGTATGCATCGAACAGGGGCTGCATGCCAGTCGGGTCTCCGTTCATGGCCATGAACAGAACCCACATTGTCTTGCCAACTGATGGAAACACACCTCGTATCTCATCAGAATCACCAGCGGTGACCAGGCCATCCTTTCCTAGCAACTTCATGCAAACCAAAGCGATAATGTAGATCACGGCCATCGTAAGCAGCAACAACCAGGCCATGCCCTGCATGGCTGCAATGATACCCGTGAGAAGATCGTAGAGTGGTGGGATGGCGCGAACCAAACGCACCAACCGGAGGAGCCGGACAAGCCGAAGCATCCTCAACATGTTCATGACGTTGCTCAAGGACTTGTCTGAGCTGTTCGCGTCCATGCCGGCCTCGGACGTCATCAGCTTGTATAGCGGCATGAACCACTGATCGATACAGCCACCGGCCACGATGATGAAATCCAGCCAATTGAATGCCCACTGGTCGTTGCAGAAGAATCTGCATCCAAAATGGTGTATACGAATCAGGAGCTCGAAGAGGAAGATGCCGAGAAAAAAGTTCTCGAAGTATACCCAGCAGCTGAGATCGGGAAAGTCCTCCTGAACCCCCATCATGATGCAGTTGAGAAAGATCACGAACATAATGAAAGCGACGAAATAGTCGTTCTCGGCCCAGTCCCCGGCATTGCCCATCTTGCTGCACACCCTGAGCACTCGCAAGAACCGGAAGACCCTCAAGATTCGTAAGGCGCCGAAGCCCATCCCGTCATGGTCCATGACCAAGGGCAACACCCACTGCTCCAAGACGGAGGCCACCACAATGACAGCGTCCAGCCAGTACGACCAGGTCTTTGAGAGGGGCCGATTGAACAGCAGTGATTCGTGCCACAATCCAAAGCGCATGGCCAACTCAGCGACGTAGAAAATGAGGAAGGCTTGGTCGAGGTACCACAGCTCGCCCGAGATCTTGATCATGGGGTCCCAGATGTGTTTCCCGATCATGACAATGACATTCATGAACACGACCATCATGGAAAGGAAGTTAAACGCATTGCCATCCACAAAGTACAAGCACTCTGGGCCAGGAGGTACTTCTTCGACTTCTGGCTCAACCTCCAATCGTGTAATCGCCTCCAGCTTGTGCTTCAAAGATTCCGCTTTCGCATCGAGGTTGCGCATGTCTTTTTCCACCCTCTCCGTGCGAGCCTGCCACCTGGATAACTCCACCGCCACCTCTTCCTTCTCTCGATCGATCTGCTTCAATGCCGCCTGGATTTCTTCGACCTGTGCTCCTTCTTCCACTTCTTCCAACCTATACTCCCCTTAGAACCTTAACAAAAAAACAATATTTTTGATACTCTTGGGTTTTGTATAAGAAAAATGAAAAAAGATTCCTAAGGGGGATATAGCAACAGGAAGGATTTGCTAGTCGACTCAGACATCGAGTAGTCTGGATCGGTTGCGCTGATTGCTGATGACATGGCCCTAGCTCCAGTAAAACTCTGACTCCTTCGACTGGACCAAGAAAATCTAACGCAGGGCATGCACGCTACGCTTCAATGTCTCACGTCATTCTCTGCGATCTTGCATATATATATATATATATGCTCACCTATATATATATATATATTTATATATTTATTTATCTATTTATTTATTTATTTACATTTATTTATTTATTTATCTATTTATTTATTTCTTGTTTCATATATCTATATATATGCGATCCAGGTGGTGAAGACATGGAGGGTACAGAGCACGACACTGAAGATGCGTAATAAACAAAAAAAGCGCTCCCGTGCCTTCTTGACCCGCGGCGCTGGCTCCTGACTCTTGCGGAAAGGGAGTACTGCAGTCTGCTTATAAGGGGCAGTCACTAAATTACGGGCTTTTTTAAGTGCCCTAAATAGGCTCTCCCCCCAAAGGGACTGTAATTTCGAGCGACCATGTAAGGATCAGGGTGCGACTTCAAGGCTTCATCCCCTAAACCCTAAACCCTAAACCCTAAACCCTAAACCCTAAACCCTTTTGCAGCGAGCCCTAAACCCTAAACCCTAAACCCTAAACCCTAAACCGTTTTGTGGTACTGGGCCTTTGGGTTCAGGGCATCGGTTGAGCTTGTGCCCTAAACAGCCTAAACAGACGGAACTACCCGAAGGCGAACCGTCTGACTCTCCCTCTCTCTCTCCCTCTGTCGACCTCGCGGCGCCTATGTAGCTGTTAGGGAAGTATCCTGTATCCTATGCTGCCTTCAGGAACACACCCGAAGGAACTACATTAGAGAATTCAGAATTCAAGTTGGCTGCGCTTGGAGGGGTGGAGGGCTGGAAGGGGTGAATGGGGTGGAAAGGGTGAATGGGGTGGAAAGGGTGAATGGGGTTGGGTGGAGGGGTGGAGGGGTGGAGGGGTGGAGGGGTGGAGGGGTGGAGGGGTGGAGGGGTGGAGGGGTGGAGGGGTGGAGGAGGAAATGGAAAGGCTAACTCGTCATTCAGGCTAACAGCTCTGACTTTCAAGCTCTTCCTTCCCTAAAAAAAAATTCCTTTCGCGCCTCCTGATCACCAAATCATGGTTGCCGGCATACATCACATCTGACCTTGGCACAGTGGAATAAGGACAGGCTTCACCTACTTCAGACATCACCCAGTCTACGAGTCGGGAACAGGTCGTGGATCTTCGCTTGCGAACTCTGAGCCTGTCTATAGAAACCTCAAAAGTAAGCGAGCAGCATCACAGAAGCTTTCACTTGACTGTGCTTGAAGAAAAGCCTCTTCGGCAAAAGTCTCAAGCATCCTGCTACATGCTGATCTTGGGTCAGCAGAGTCAATGAGTTGCAGTAGCAAGCTATGGAGCAGCATTTTGGTCGCAGTGCATCACACCGTTTCGGTCCCTTGAAACCGTTTCAGACTCTGGAACGGAACAACCTCCTATACAAAAAAGCCCCTCGAACTGCACAAGGTGAGGGGCTCGCATCATGTCAGGCCACTCGCCTGTGTCGGCCTGTACGAAGCAAGATGCCTTTCCCAGACAACGGCTGATGTAACCAGATAATTGCAATTCTTGAAGAGCCACGCTCGCCGTGCCTGTCGAAGATGCGGCATAGGCCCACATCATGGACACCTATGATACCTATGATACCTTCTGGAGCTGCATGGCACAAGCCGTGAAACGGCGATAAGTTTTCACGAACTGGCACGCTTTCCACGAATTGGCGCGTGCCCGGTGCCGACGATCAGCGTGAGGTGCGCAGGTCAGACACCAAACAGAATGTCTGCGACACACGCCCCTGAGCACCACTCGGCCATCCGCATCATGTCATCTAAATCTCATCTTGACTCGCATAAAGGCGGTTGGCCTCTCCGGTGAAACTCGCTTTCATGAGGTATCCCTCGTCCATCTTGGCGATACGCTCCAACTGATTCTTTTCGAGTCGGGATTGGGCGTCGCGGCCGAATGCAAAAGCACTTGGATCCTTCCTGAAGGCGAAAGCCTTGAGGTTCAGGCATTGCAGCCGTTTGGGCACCTCTTTGTACAGCACGGGATGGTGGTCCAAGACCAGCAAGGCAGTCTCGTAGTCCAGCATCTCTTGCCACCGGAACAGCAGGTACACGCAGAAGCTGTGCTGAGGGGCCGCCTCCTTGATGAACTGCTTCCACCAGCTGATGTCGATCGCTCTGAGCTCCTCCAAGAGCGCTGAGAGTAAGGGCTCGCATGGCTCGCGGTCGTCCAGGAGCAGCCTCGCGATGGAGTGGGACGAGACGGAAGCCGAGCTGTGGTCATGCACTTCCCAGTGGTCCAGCATGCTGCGCAGAGCCAGCTCAACGCATTGCTTCTTCGCCGAGTCGTCGACATACTGGAAGGCACGGAAGTCTTGGCGGAGGGCCGCCTTCGCGACATCTTGCCTTGACCTGAGGTCCAGCGACGCGAATTGCAGGCACGTGCCCTGGCGTTTGACGGCGTGGAGGACGATGTCTTCGTCGCCATGCCAGGAGGTGGCATGCCTGAGCGCAAGGGGCCACTGGTCAAGGAGAGCCTTCAGGAACCTCTTGCTCTGCATAAGCTCGGTGACTGCATGGAAATCCTCGCAGTTGCAGCCGGCCAGGGCCAGGAGGAAGCTGCGGTTCTGGAGGAGCTCAGGGAAAGCATCCAGCCAAGAGCCTGCTTGCAGCTCGGCATGTTGGGCCAAGCGGATGCCGGGGTCCCGGCAGCGCTTGAGGTGGCCCATGCCCAGCCGGAGCGCCATGTTCCGAAGCTCCCACTTCTTCTCCCCCAGCCCAGTGGATGCTTCCACCACCAGCAGAAACTTCTCCAAGAAGAAGTGGTCCTCCTCGAGCCACAACGAGACCGGCGGCCGGTTTTCGGGCTCCCGGCCTTGGAGTCCGGACCACCGCGCTCCACGAAGACGCTCGGGGAAGCTTGTCCCGATCCACTCCCAGCGGTCTGCGCTGGTCTCGGGGATCGGCTCCAAGGGCATCGCCCGTGCATTCTCCATCTCATGCTGCAGTTCGAGGAGAACCTGCTGCCGCACTTGCCGTGGGTCCCTCCCCAGATCCTGAAAAAGCCTGGCCCGGATCTCCTCCTCTGTCCTCCTCGTGCGCATCATGTGCTCCCTTTTCTGACTCTGCCAATCGCGAAGAGGCTGGTCGTACTTCTCTAGCTGCAGGATCACGCGGACCTCGTTGATCCTCTCCCCGCCCCAGGGAGCGAGACCCCGGCCCCAGCTTCGAATCATCGCAGGGAAGACGGAGCGAGCGTTGGCAGCTGGTGGCGTATCTTCGGAGCACTCTGCCTCGAGCTGCTTCAAAAACTCCTCCTTCTCCTCTGCATCTTGAATCTGCTTGACCATGGTCAGGTCGGGCCCCATCGGTACGAGCTTGTAGGTGCAAGCGTAGTGCCCCAACACATCCATCATCTTCTCCTGCAACTCTGAAGAGTTCATCTCCCGGTCCAGGACCATGGCCACGTCCCCGCTCATCTTGTAGACCCTGACCTCCGTCCCTCTGGGCATTCCAAGCACCTCTCCACCATCTCCGCCATTGCCTCGCTCCGCACCGGCCACCTCCGGCCGGGCAGAGCCTTCCATGGAAACACACAAAGCGAGTGCCTCTGAAGGCCTGAAGTGGGAGCCGAACTGTGCCTGTTGAACACTGGTGACACTGGTGCTCAGAAGCTGCACTGGCTCACTCCTCACATGAAGGTCTGAGGCTCCGACACGCAGCAGCGCGCGAAGAGAAAACTTGGAGCTGCAGGAACCCGGCAGCCTGCACGTCAGCCGACAGCTCCATCACTGGGAATTGTACTGGGATGCTCACCTCCCGACGGATGCCGCCGCCTCGCCCGGCACCCAAACGCTACAGCAAGATCATAAAGCCGCTTTCCACTGTGTGTGAGCTCATACCCCGAAACCCCCGTTGCAGGTAAGGACGGCTCATCAAAAAGCTGAGCTGATGCTTGCTCTGTGTGTGTGTGACTTCAAACCCAACACACCGCTAATCACAAAGCTAGTGGTTGCTGTGTGAGAGCTCATATCCAAAACCCACGTTGCCGGCAGAAAGCAAGCAGGTAAGGACTGCCCATCAGAGAGTTCGCGTTTGGTGTGAATTCATACCCAAAACCCCACTTGCAGGTAAGGACGGCTCATCAGAAAGCTGGTGGTCGCCGTGTGTCATTCCCTTCCAAGAACCAGGAATCAGTATAAGCCAGACGGAGCCTTGATCTCCGAAGGCAGACCCGGCACCTTCCAGGTTGCTTAAGGTTTCAAACGGGTTTCCATCAGCTTCCCTATACCAGATGACTCGTGAATGGGGGGCTTGAGGCTTGCAGGTTTGAGTTTTGAGGGTGACATGAGGAAGGCTTGAGGTTGAAGAGCTGTGGAAATTTGGGGTGGTTGGCGGGTAGAGGCAAACGCCTGGAATCAAACCCTGGCGCGTTTTTCCTTCTGAACACGTCGCTGACCCAAAGGCTGCCCCCCCCCCCACTTTGTGGGGTCTCTGATTGCTTCAATCAGCGGCAAGCTATCCCAAGAGAACTGCGTGGTTAAGTGTCCAAAAGCTCCTGTTGCCCAACATGGTAACCAATGAGAACGGAAAGTTGATCGAAAGGATCAGGACCATGAGGACAAAGGAAGAGGGTCAAGCGAGCAACGAACCATGTGTGGGCCAGGTAGCAGGCTGTAGAGGTTCCTTTGGAACCGACAGATAACTGACGCTTCCACAGCTGGCAGGGGCGCCGCGAAACATAGCATGGGCGGCAGGTGTAGTGCTCCAGCTTAACATAAAGACAATAGGACCAAACAGAGAGCCACTCCGTAAGAACCGGACCGTAGTACATGACATGTACTGCGGCTTAGCACATTGTGCTAAGACCTACCATCCTGCTGCCGACGTTGGTGTCTTTTAAAGACCTTGCTGCTTGGATCCAAGGCGCTGCTTGCAGTAGTAGGATGATGCACGACAGGATAAAGGAATGTATAGGAGGAGTTGCTACAGGAGGGGCAGAGAAAATATGGCGCCTTCTGTCCATGGGCATCGTTGGGGCATACTGTGAGTGCAGCGAGCAGTCCAAGAACAGCCGCCTGGTCCCTATTTGTCTCCCTATAGATACCACAGAAACGACGTGGCGTTGCAAAAGGCATCGTGGCAGCCAACATCATCTGACTGAATTTTCTGCCTATTCAACATCGACTTCGGCAGTCAGTCAGAATGCAAGGCAATAGCCGTGCTGAATTGGATAAATTGTGATCCAATCCAATGAGGAACAGCTGAGGACGGACCCCATCCGGGTGCTTGCAGCCACAAACAGAGAAGACGTCAGCACTAGCATGAAGAGTCATCAACAACCCTCACAAGAAGCCGTGGTCTGCCAGGTATCCCCGGACCGGATTCGCTGTTGTTGACATGGATTGCCAAGCTAAAAGTCCCGGCGAACCACCAAAGGAATGCACAAACACATTTGTGTTTTGGGATATTGGCTGGCACAGAAGAACATGTACCAAATCGTTCTGCCGAGACGGCCGTGGCTTCATGATGTAGGCACACGGAGGGCCTTCTCGATCCGGGCCAGCTTCTGATACACACGGGTGACCGACAGGAGGTCGACCGATCCATGCGCCTTCATCAGTGAGTCAACGAAGCTATCTCGAGCGACCATCTCGTAATGCGCATTGTGCGCCTGCTTGATCTCCTTGGGGAAGCCTTCCCACGCGGCCAGGAGCTCGTCCTTGTCCATGTCCAAGATCTCGCACATCTCCTCGCAAACGTCGTCCTTGCCTAAGAGGGCTTGGTAATCCTTGAATGACATGTCGTCACGGCCATCTGTCACGCTCGAGAAAGCCTTGTCCAAGCTCTTCTTGAGGAACTCATCTCGCTTCTTTGTCTCGGCTTCTTCGACTTCCTTGTCGTGCTCCTCTGCTGCTGATGCCATCTTGTCTGCCACCACACCTGTCAGCACCGACAAGATCGCAAAACTGGTGAAGATCATGTAGCCGGCTGCGAAGACGAGAGTGGCTGGGTATGCATCGAACAAGGGCTGCATGCCAGTTGGGTCTCCGTTCATGGCCATGAACAGAATCCACATTGTCTTGCCAACGGACGGAAACACACCTCGTATCTCATCAGAATCACCAGCGGTGATCAGGCCATCCTTTCCAAGCAACTTCATGCAAACCAAGGCGATAATATAGATCACGGACATCGTAAGCAGCAACAACCAGGCCATGCCCTGCATGGCTGCAATGATACCCGTGAGAAGATTGTAGAGTGGTGGGATGGCGCGAACTAAACGCACCAAGCGGAGGAGTCGGACAAGCCGAAGCATCCTCAACATGTTCATGACGTTGCTCAAGGACTTGTCTGAGTCTTTCGCGTCCATCCCGGCCTCGGACGTCATCAGCTTGTATAGCGGCATGAACCACTGATCGATACAGCCACCGGCCACGATGATGAAATCCAGCCAATTGAAGGCCCACTGGTCGTCGTAGAAGAATCTGCATCCAAAATGGCTTATTCGAATCAGGAGCTCGAAGAGGAAGATGCCGAGAAAAAAGTTCTCGAAGTATACCCAGCAGCTGAGATCCGGAAAGTCCTCCTGAACCCCCATCATGATGCAATTGAGAAAGATCACGCCCATAATGAAAGCGACGAAATAGTCGTTCTCGGCCCAGTCTGCGGCAGTGCCCAACTTGCTGCACACCCTGAGCACTCGGATGAACCGGAAGACCCTCAAGATTCGTAAGGCGCCGAAGCCCATCCCGTCATGGTCCATGACCAAGGGCAACACCCACTGCTCCAAGACGGAGGCCACCACAATGACAGCGTCCAGCCAGTACGACCAGGTCTTTGAGAGGGGCCGATTGAACAGCAGTGACTCGTGCCACAATCCAAAGCGCATGGCCAGCTCAGCGACGTAGAAAATGAGGAAGGCTTGGTCGAGGTACCACAGCTCGCCCGAGATCTTGATCATGGGGTCCCAGACTTGTTTCCCGACCATGACGACGATATTCATGAACACGACCAGCATCGAAAGGAAGTTGAATGCATTGCCATCCACAAAGTACAAGCACTCTGGGCCAGGAGGTACTTCTTCGACTTCTGGCTCAACCTCCAAGTGTGTAATCGCCTCCAGCTTTTGCTTCAGGGATTCCGCTCTCGCATCGAGGTTGCTGCTGTCTTTTTCCACCCTCTCCGCGCGAGCCCGCCACCTGGACAATTCCACGGCGAGCTCTTCCTTCTCTTGATCTATCTGCTTCAGTGCTGCTAGAATTTCCTCAACATCCGCTCCTTCTTCCACTTCGGTCAACGGTGTGTAGTTGGACCCGGCCCGGGCGGTTCGCCAATCAGCAGACATCGAGGACGCTTGATCAGTTGCACTGATTTCTTCGGCTGAGCCGCAATCTAGCACACGGCATGCGCGCCAAACTTCAACCAAACTTCAACTGCTCTCTTCGTTCTCTTCGCTCTTGCATATGTTCTCAGAACGCCGTGAAGACATGGAGCCTAAACGCGTGAGTAAGCAGCAAAAGTGCGCCCTCGGAGAACATGCTGCGGGTTTCGCCCTCGTGCCTTGATCCACAGCGGCGGTTCCTGACTCCTGGCAAGAGGCCGGGATTATCTGCAAACTTCTCGAAGTTATGAGCCCCCTGAGGAGCCCAGGCGAAGGCTCCGCACATCTCCACACCATAAAGAGAACCCCAAACGAGAACCCATGTAATGATTACAAGGGTTCAGGGTGTGGCTTGTGTCCTAAGCTTAAGGGACTCCGTCTTTCTCGCTCTCTTCTTCCTCTTCCTCTTCCTCTTCCTCTTCCTCTTCCTCTTCCTCTTCCTCTTCCTCTTCCTCTTCCTCTTCCTCTTCCTCTTCCTCTTCCTCTTCCTCCTCCTCCTCCTCCTCCTCCTCCTCCTCCTCTTCCTCTTCCTCTTCCTCTTCCTCTTCCTCTTCCTCTTCCTCTTCCTCTTCCTCTTCCTCTTCCTCTTCCTCTTCCTCTTCCTCTTCCTCTTCCTCTTCTTCTTCTTCTACGGGGCTTGAGGAACCCGGAGGGCCCCCCGCGCTCTGGGGACGCGCAGATCAAGTCCAGTCTCGGTGAGATTCATGCAACGAGGCTTGTGTCCCGACTGTGTGGAGTTGCCCCGAAAACACTAACCCTACACTATGACCCCCTTCATGGGAGCTCTCATCTGCGACACCTTGTTGCTGTGCTGGTGAGACTTCCGGGCTTCTTTGCACTCCCCACTTTGCTAGTCCCTGGCCCTCTTCGAAACATCTGACCATGGTACATGCTCAGGCCATTGCTCCTACCGACTCGCGTGGGTTGTTGTTGGTTACTACCCGCCTAGAACTAGTAAAAGGTCACCCCGAATCAGTCGGTTACCCACCGAGTACATTGTCCCCCGCCAGTGCTTTGTCTATACGGTCTCCTCAAAAACGACATTGAAGAATTCAGAATTCAGACCTCTCTCCCTCTCTCGCTCTGTCCCCGCTGCAGTTCCAACAAGACTGCAGCAGGCCGAAAGTTCGTCGCTCTCACAACATAAACTACAACAAATTTAGCCCGCAAGAATACTGTAAATAATACAAATTTTCTTCCGGCCGATGAATTCCTCCACTAGCCAGGCTAGGACAAACCCACCCGCCACTACCCCGCTGTCCTCCATAGAGACAAGGCAGGCCTCCGATCCGTCGGCTTTCAAAGAGGTTGGGCCCAAGCTAAGCTCGGCTGCCACAGCGCAGCACGGGATGTGCGAGCTCCAGGGTCCTGGCACCAAAACGCCTTTCTGGGCACCTTAAGTAAGGGGGCTCGGGGTTTGGGGGCTCAGGGGACTCGAGTTTAGCAGCTCAGGGGTTCAAGGGTATCCTAGGCTGCACGGGGCGTAAGGGATCGTAGAACCCCGGACAAAGGCAACAGGGTACTACAAAAGGCAGCGTTATGTCACGCCATCGCGCGTGAAGTCGCGACACCGTCTTGCAACGCGGGAAAGCGCAAAGTCATGACACGTCGCGCCATGTCGAGCCTTAAGCACAGTCCTGAAGCGAGACCCGAGTGCGCACGTGGTGCGCCGTACATTCTTGCAAACTTCTGAAACTAGGATTTCTGCAGTCGCGCGAGCAGGGTTTTCCAACAAATTTGTGCCCAGTCAGTTTAACAACTAAACACGATGTGCACGCTCTCAGGCACGAGACCCCGTTTATGCACGGCCCATCCCTAAACCCTAAACCCTAAACCCTAAACCCTAAACCCTAAACCCTAAACCCTAAACCCTAAACCCTAAACCCTAAACCCTAACCCTAGGTGTAAGTCTCATGCCCCAGTCTCCTGGTGCAAGCCTCGCTTGTGCACATCGCCGCATCGTTCTTGCAGCCCTGCTGCCGCTGTAGCCTGGACAGCATGCAATCCTTTGCGCAAGTTCCTATGCCCTTAACCTGATAGCCCCTGCCCCATATAGCATGACTCCTGTGTATTTTGGCGGGATGCAATCTCACTTACGTACAGTGACAGCCCCGCTGTCACTTACAGTAACTGCCTCGTAACATCCCTTCAAAGGATTATAATTCCTTGCTAGGAACCAGTAAGGTTAGGCTCTCCCTTGGCCGCCCTCTAACAGTGGGACTTACAAGTGAGTTCAACTGGCATCTGAAACCGTCGGTTACAACCCTTGGCCAAAACGGCTGTTGCGCGCACATGCGCAAAAAAACAAACAGGAATCCACAAGGTGCAAAAAGAAATTACGAAGTCGTCCGCGCAGCTCTCGGGGTGAATGGGCAGCCCGTTCATGGGCAACGCCCCTGCGTACACGAGGAAGCCAGCCACGAATGTGCGCTTGCCCACACCTGGGCAGATTCGAAGGGGAATTAAGGAGTGGGTTTGAAGCGCAGAACATCTTGGGAGTACTGGCGCTTGTCCACGGCCTCCAATCCTGACAAGAGGCCACGCACGGACAGTAAGTCTGCCCGGACTTGAACTGGCCGATGTCGCTGGTGGTATGAGACGATGCTCTGTGCCAGGCCGTATGCTGACGCCTTGGATGCTTGCAAAAATGCATTCCCTGCCAGTTGCTCATTTTCGTTTAAACTCCTGTCATTTGCTGAGCCTAGCAGCCTGTCTAACACTGCCTGCACTGCAGACAAAAAAGCAAGGCAAGGTTCTAGTCGGCAATTTCTGAACTATCAGTGCACACGTACTATATTATGTGAGCCTATTCTATATAATGCTGACGCTGTACATAATATAAAACATCACCTGACGACAACTTACACACCGGCGCATGGGAGTAGCAACAAGGTGACAAGGTTCCCTCGCACACAATCCGAGCAGCGTGTTCCAGGATCGCAGGTGAGGCTGTGTTGAGATCGACGCCCACGGCGTTGACACAGTCCATGGTGGCCGGCCAAACGCTTCTGGTCCACGTCATGCTGATAGAGGCCCACCCCGATGCTCCGAGGATCAATCTTCACCAGCTCAGAGAGGGGATCCAAGAGCCGCCGTGCGATGGAGACGGCGCCGCGCATGGACACGTCTAGCTGTGGAGGCGCAAGAGATGGAGACCCCAGACTCATCCACCACCGCTCCCCTGGTTCGGCCTCGGCAGGCGCCACTTTCGTTCCCTGCAAGCCTGGCCCAAGGTCCCGGAGGCCTCGGATTGCGTTCTGGGCCTGTGAGGTGGGCACAGCTGCCCCGGCATAGCTCGGGTCCTAGACGGTTTATAGCGTAAACCCTGAATGAAGCCTTCGCTCTGCGGTTTACGGTTTAAGCACTCACACATCTCGGACACACCATGTGAAGGTTGCGCTGCATATCTCGGCCAAGCTGGCTGCGGTCACCACCAAGACCACCCAGACCGTGCACGAGCCACGCACCCAGGAACACGAGTTTGGTTCCAGGTTTGGGAATTTCGGTGGGATGCTTACCTCAACTTGCTCAGTGCAGGCATGGCATGCCTCTTTTTCATGTGCCCTTGCGCATCACCTCACATCGAGAGCCGGCGACAAGAAGGGAGTCAAAAGCATCTCGCCCCCCCCCCCCCCCGTCCCTAAGCCAAGCCCTACAATCACTATGAGCCACATAAGCAAGAGATGCGAGGCCATGTGCTTGGGAAGTCCCCTGAATTGCCAAGGCCAGCTTGTTTTGAAAAGCAATGAGGCCGGCGAGGTCCGTGCAGGCAGTGACCTCAAGCCTGCACGGAAAATCACTGGGGCTTCGGACATCCTTGGGGCCCTTCGATGGGGCCTTTCTAGGGTTTAGGGTTTAGGGTTTAGGGTTGACCCTGTTCCCGATGCAGGACCACCCAAGGACAGAGGATTTAGGGATATTTAGGGCTTGGGGTGACCTAGCTCGACCCTTGACCACAAGCCCCAGCAGAAAATCACTGCCTCAAAAATGGGATCCCTTTGCTCCCGGGTTGTTCGGAGTGGCACCCCTTTTTGGAGGGATGATGTTTTTCTTAACAGAGGAGCCTGTTGAATGAGAAATGCGTGCTTCTTGGCATGGGGAGGGCAAATCGGGAATTAGGGACCTTACATCCCCCTTGTTACCTGGGATTAGGGACCCCTCAGCTCCCTAAGAACCAATAAGTTTAGAATGCAGACAGCGAGCGGGAGAGAGAGAGAAGGAGAGTCGGAGAGACAACGTTTGCAGGGGGAGGCAAAGGGATCTCACAGTGAGACAGGTTGCCCAAACAGACGGGAGAATCGCTTGCGTGCAGCTGCCGCTTGCAACGGATGGATGTAAGGATTATTGGGCTGAGCCGGGTTGAGTTTAGGCTTTTGATGTTTAGAGATTGGCGTTTAGGTGTCGGGAAAGCGAGACTTTCCGCTGCACGATCCTCCTTGCGGGCGAGTTCCTCTTAAATTCAGGCTTCGCTTCTGAGTGACTAGACGGAAACCGAATGCATGGTTGCACAGCAGCACAGACAAAGCAAACCTGTACATCGTCTGTGGGTCTGCTGCTTCCTAAAGCAGATTGAATTTGGGATCAGAAGCACAGAGAACCTTCGCACGAGGATGTTCGTCGATGTGCAAAACTTCATCTCATGGATAGCCCAATGCGCCACTTTGCTTTTCCGGCGCCTGCAAGCAAGCACGGGCGCTTGGTACCGACACAGAAGACCAAAACTCCCGCCTCCCTTTTCTTGTCGACACTCGGCAGACCTGAACATAAGCACGCGTCGGTCATTCTATATCACGGTCCCGACTGGCGGCTTTGTCATAGGTTCTATCGGACCCATGCAAAGGGACCCTGAAACAGAACAACCCTCATGGGCAACATCCGCTTTTACATCCTGCACAGCAGAGGCGGAGCGCCTTCCAGAGCGCCTACGAACCTGCCAAGGCCGCGACAAGACTGTGACCTCCACCGGGCTGTTGACGGCCAATTTCGCAGCAGACTGACCCAATGGAAACTTTGAGATCTTGGCGCAAGGCAGAGAGATACAAGAGCATCTACCAACATTGAAGATCCCAGGGATCGTATAGAGGGTGCCCTGGGCATTTTTAACATTTTGAAGGCCGGGTTGACTGCAAAGAAGTCCACCAACGGATGCACATGCAGGACCTTCTCGCGCCACGCAAGGCACCATCCCAAAGCCTTGTCAAGCCCCCAACTAGGCGGTTTAGGGTTTAGGGTCTAGGGTTTAGGGTTTAGGGTTTAGGGTTTAGGGTTTAGGGTTTAGGGTTCAACCCTTCTGTTCTTGTTTTCTTCGGGCGTTGTGGCGTCTTTCTGAGTCTGAGCGGCATGCAGCAAACCGTCGTGGCCGACACCGACGTCCACGAAGGCCCCGAAGGCCACGACGTTGCGCACCACCCCCTGGAGCCGCATGCCGGGCTTCAGCTGATCGACCTCGGCAAGGCTCTTTAGGGGGTTTAGGGGTTTAGGGGTTTAGGGTGTAGGGTTCAGGGTTTCGGGTTTAGGGTGGTTTAGTCGCAGGGTTTAGGGTTTAGGGTTCAGGGCTTAGCCTTACTGGATCGTAGGGGAGTTCAAGTCGCTCCGGTTGCTTTGCGGGTGCATATAACTCCCTCAAATTCCCTACGCAGAACCAGTATGATGTTGTCGCACAGGCAGGGGGGGGAGTGTGTTGCAATCTTGCGCCGTTGCACAACTTGCGCCCCCCCCTCCTAATCGAGAGCCCCAAAATGCCCAAAAACAACACTGCTCTTGCGCATCACCTGCCTACCCGACACTCAGGACGCACTTCAGGGGCAAAGTGCTTCTATGAGTTAGGGCCAAGTACTATACTCCCCTCAGAACCTTAATAAACAATTATGTTTAATATCTCTTGGGTTTGCATAAACAGAATTTAAAGTAATTCCCAAGGGGGATATAGATTCAGGATAACTTATGGTTTACGGCTCGGCACGGCCGCCTGCAGCCCAAATGCGGTCCAGCCTGCTTCCTGGGCGTCGATGGCAGCCCCTTCCTTTCATCCGGGCCGGTTTCGGGTTTAGGGTTTAGGGTTCAGGGCTTGGGGTTTAGGGTTCAGGGTTCAGGGTTTAGGGTTTGCAGAAGTGGGCATCGGGGTCCATTTAGGGTTTAGGTTTAGGCTAGGGGTGGCAGGGGTGAAGGCGGGGGGGGGGGGGGCTGGGGGGGAAGGAGTGCAAGTTTGTTGAGGGTTCAGGGCGCACTAAACCTTCCAGGACTTTCCCGCCAACTCTCTCCCACAAACGTTGCTTGCATCCTTCCCATCAAGTCTTTCAAGGCTCCGATGACTTAAGTCCTACCTACCCCAAACACCTAAGCAGTAAACAAGCCACCCCTCAAAAACCTACAGAACGATGGCGCATGGCCCCCGCTGCAACAAAATCGCACCTCCATGCCCGCGTTAACGGTTTACTTGTCCAACCTTGTTATGACATGACCCTACTATGCAGTAGTCAGACGGAGCCTTGATCTCTGCAGGCAGGCCCGGCACCTTCCAGGTGCATAAGGTTTCCACGGGTTTCAATCAGTTTCACTAGGGGCCGCCAGATGAGTCATGCACGGGCGACATGAGGGAGGCGTGAGTCTTAAGAGCTTGGAAATGTTGGGGTGGTTGGCGGGTAGAGGGACATGCCTGGAATCAAACCCTGGGGCGTTTTTTTCCCTTTTGAAAGGGTCGCTTACCCAAAGGGTGCTAGAGGGTGCTGCCCCCCCCACTTTGTGGGGTCTCTGATTGCTTCAACCAGCGGCAAGCTATCTACGGGTTGAACGTCCAAAAGCTCCTGGTGCCCAACAGGGTGACCCATAAGAACCGAAAGTTGATCGTTTAGGGTTTAGGGTTTAGGGTTTAGGGTTTAGGGTTTAGGGTTTAGGGTTTAGGGATCAGGGCCATGAGGACAAAGGAAGAGGGTCAAGCGAGCAACAAACCATGTGTGGGCCAGGTAGCAGACTGCAAAAGTTCTGTGCAGGTTCCTATGGAACCGACAGATAACTGGGGATTCCCCAGCTAACACAGCGCAGGCGGCACGACATAAAACCAATAGGCACTCCATGGGAACCGGACCGCAGTACGCGTGTTAACACCTGCGTGTCTCTTACACAACTTGCTGCTGCGATCAAGGTGCTACGTGCAGTAGTAGGATGATGCACAACAGGAGCTAGGAAAATGTAAGAGTGGTTGCTACAGGAGGGGAAGAGGAAATGTTGTGCTTTCTGTCCATGGGAATCTTTGGGGCATGCTGTGAGTACAGCGAGGAATCCAAGAATAGCCGCCTGGTCCCCATGAGTCGCTGTATAGATACCGCGGAAAAGATCTGGCGTCCGATAGAGATCGCGGCATCCGACATCGTGTGCCTGCGTGCTGCCTATTCAACATCGACGTCGGCAGTCAGTCAGAATGCAGAAGCCGTGATAAGCTGGATAATCTGTGATACAATCCGATGAAGAACAGCTGAGGACGGACCCCATCCGGGTGCCTGCAGCCACACACACACAGAAGGCATCAACATTAGCATGAAGAGTAATCATTACCCTCACTAGAAACTAGAAGTTGAAGCCGTGGTCTGGCAGGTCGCCCCGGACCGGACAAGAGCTCTCTTTTAAAGGAGCACTTGAATTGCCCAGCTTCGCTGCTCACATGGATTGCCAAGCTAAGATCCAGTTTCTCCGTTGGGCGATCCACCAAAGGAATGCGCAAACACACATCTGCGTTTTTTGGGATGCTTGTTGGTGCAGAAGATGGCCCGTAGCGCGGTGCAAGGCTCTGAGGAAACAAGTTGAGCATCTTAAGTTCATTGAGGAAGATTCCGCAATTCAACCCTGTAGCCTATGAATGTTCTCAAGCAGTGTTGGAGTTACTGGGAGTGTCTGCTATGTATGCACGTACTCAATCGTTCCGCAGAGGCTTCATGATGTTGGCACACGGAGGGCCTTCTCGATTCGGGCCAGCTTCTGATACACACGGGTCACTGACAGGAGGTCGACTGATCCATGCGCCTTCATCAGTGAGTCAACGAAGCTCTCTCGAGCGACCATCTCGTAATGCTCATTGTACGCCTGCTTGCTCTCCTTGGGGAAGCCTTCCCATGCGGCCAGGAGCTCGTCCTTGTCCATGTCCAAGATCTCGCACATCTCCTCGCAAACATCGTCCTTGCCTAAGAGGGCCTGGTAGTCCTTGAATGACATGTCGTCACGGCCATCTGTCACGCTCGAGAAAGCCTTGTCCAAGGCCTTCTTCAGGAACTCATCTCGCTTTTTTGTCTCGGCTTCCTCGACTTCCTTGTCGTGCTCGTCTGCTGCTGATGCCATCTTGTCTGCCACCACACCTGTCAGCACCGACAAGATCGCAAAACTGGTGAAGATCATGTAGCCGGCTGCGAAGACGAGAGTAGCTGGGTATGCATCGAACAGGGGCTGCATGCCAGTTGGGTCTCCGTTCATGGCCATGAACAGAACCCACATTGTCTTGCCAACGGACGGAAACACACCTCGTATCTCATCAGAATCACCAGCGGTGACCAGGCCATCCTTTCCCAGCAACTTCATGCAAACCAAGGCGATAATGTAGATCACGGACATCGTAAGCAGCAACAACCAGGCCATGCCCTGCATGGCTGCAATGATACCCGTGAGAAGATTGTAGAGTGGTGGGATGGCGCGAACCAAACGCACCAAGCGGAGGAGTCGGACAAGCCGAAGCATCCTCAACATGTTCATGACGTTGCCCAAGGACTTGTGTGAGGCGTTCGAGTGGCCGGCCTCGGACGTCATCAGCTTGTATAGCGGCATGAACCACTGATCGATACAGCCACCGGCCACAATGATGAAATCCAGCCAATTGAAGGCCCACTGGTCGTCGTAGAAGAATCTGCATCCAAAATGGCATACTCGAATCAGGAGCTCGAAGAGGAAGATGCCGAGAAAGAAGTTCTCGAAGTATACCCAGCAGCTGAGATCCGGAAAGTCCTCCTGAACCCCCATCATGATGCAGTTGAGAAAGATCACGCCCATAATGAAAGCAACGAAGTAGTCGTTCTCCGCCCAGTCCGCAGCCTTGTCCAACTTGCTGCACACCCTCAGAACCCGGATGAACCGGAAGACCCTTAGAATGCGCAAGGCGCCAATCCCTTCATGGTCGGTGAAGAAGGGCAACACCCACTGCTCCAGGATGGAGACACCCACAATGACGACGTCCAGCCAGTAAGGCCAGGTCCTTGAGAGAGGCCGATGGAACAGCAGCTTCTGCTGCCACAACCCAAAGCGCAAAGCCAGCTCAAGGACGTAGAAGATGAGGAAGGACTGGTCGAGGCACCACAGCTCGCCCGAGATCTTGATCATGGGGTCCCAGACGTGTTTCCCGACCATGACGACGACATTCATGAACACGATTAAGATGGAAAGGAAGTTGAATGCATTGCCGTCCACAAAGTACAAGCACTCTGGGCCAGGAGGCACTTCATCGGCGCCCGGCTCGGCCTCCAATCGTGCAATCGTCTCCAGCTTCTGCTTCAGGGATTCCGCTCTCGCATCGAGAGTGCGGATATCTTTCTCCACCCTCTCCGCCCGAGCTTGCCACCGGGACAACTCCACTACCAGCTCTTCCCTGTCTTGTTCAAGCTGGTTCAACGTCGCTTGAATTTCGTCCACATTTTCTTCTTCTTCCACTTCTGCCAACAGGTACTTGGACCCGGCCCGCGCGGTTCGAGAATCAGCAGACATCGAGGGCTCTTGATCTATTGCACTGATTTCTTCGACTGAGCCGCAAGCTAGCACGCGGCACGCGGCACGCGCACCGAACTTCAACTGCTCTCTTCGTTCTCTTCGCTCTTGCATATGTCAGAACGCAGTGAAGACATGGAGCCTAAACGCGTGAGTAAGCAGCAAAAGTGCGCGCCCTCGGAGAACATGCTGTGGGTTTCGCCCTCGCGCCTTGATCCGCAGCGGTGGTTCCTGACTCCTGGCAAGAGGCAGGGACTACTGCGGTCTGCACTGTCTGCAAACTTCTCGAAGTCATGAAGTCATTGAGCCCTCCGAAGCACCCAGGTATAAGGATGCGCACCATAAAGGGAACCTCAGGGTGCGGGCTTGTGGCCTAAACGGACGGAACTCTCTCCCTTTCTCTCCAGAATCTCCCATGTATAGTAAGGAACCCCCTAAAAAAGCTACCTTGGAGAATTCTGAGGTCTCTCTACCCGCTGCAGTTCCAAGAAGATGGCTCTTCCAAGAATTTTCGAGTGCTGACCATCGTACTTTGGGGGATAAGTTGGGGGACGCCTAAATGTTGGCAATACCCATATCGTACACAGGGTTTAAGGTTTAGGGTTTAGGGTTTAGGGTTTAGGGTTTAGGGTTTAGGGTACGGCCGTCGGGGTCTGCACACCGAGCTACGGAAAAAAGGGAGGCCTCGGGTCCAGGGAAGCCTGGGAGTGGGCATTGGCCAGAGCACCACACAAGTCGGCCAGCGTCTCCTGGGCTGGCAGAAGGAGGGTTTAGGGTTTAGGGTTTAGGGTTTAGGGTTTAGGGTTTGGGGTTTGGGGTTTAGGGTTTAGGTTCCCTTCAAAACCGTGAACCCCACCCGTGGAAAGCTCTATTCGGCGGGGGGGGGGTAACCTTGGAGTGGCAGTCTTTCCGAGAGGCTGGGCCCAAGCCGAGCTCGGCTGCCACGGCAGCATCCCGGGCGAGCTCCAGGAGGGTCCTATTTCGGGGGTTTAGGGTTTAGGGTTTAGGGTTTAGGGTTTAGGGTTTAGGGTTTAGGGTTTAGGGTTTAGGGTTTAGGGTTTAGGGTGGGCTTCAGGAGACTCGGGTTTAGCAGCTCAGGGGTTCAAGGGTACCTGAACTGAATTGGGCTTCAAGGGGCTTCAGGGATCGCATAACCTGCAACAAAGGCAATGAGGGTAAGGGGGACCATTGGCATCTTGGCTCATGGGGTCCTGGGGTCCTCAAAGTTACTTGTGGGATCTAGCCAACACCCTGTAAACCTTAAACTACGAGGTTCAGGCCTTTAGGAGCTTCACGACTTCACGGCCCTTGGAGCTTAAGGACGGGCGCGCAAGTTTAAAGCCACGCCCCTAAATGCTCGAAACGCCAAGACGCCCTAACAGCCGACAACGGCAAAATGCATGTTCATAAGAATTTATGCATCACAAGAGCCTGAGGGCACGTTACTAACTAATTTTTAATTAGGGTGTTCAAGGGGCCGGGCGTTGGAAGTAGATTGTGGAGTTTGGGGGAGCTGCGTATAAGTCTCAACCAACCTCGAAAAGCAGCAGCCGTCTTCACGTTCACAACCCTAAGGACACCTACCGGGAATGAGGGTTGCAGACTTCTTGGGGCGTCTCACATCATTATCCGCCTGTCGGTTTTTTTGCCTCTAATGTCGCCCCCTTCTGGAATGGGTATCCCCCCTGGGCGACAGGTGTCCCGGAGCGGCATCTGGGCCCGACTATGGGAGCCACACCAAATTCACCCCCCCCCCATCCCTCTGCTCCCCTCCTTGCTTGCTTGTTTAACCAGGTCTATACTGGACATGAGCCTGCGTTGCAACAGGATCCCCGAAAGGGAATGAAAAGCACCGAGCCTCTCAAAGCGCGGAAGCCTAACAGCACCTTCACACCCACGATCTGAGGTTTGGGTTGCCTCACTGGGCAGGCCCCGGCCGAGGCGGGTCGCGTAGCATTGAAATTAACCGCTCTATACCCTAAACCCTAAACCCTAAACCCTAAACCCTAAACCCTAAACCCTAACCCTAAACCCTAAACCCTAAACGTCCGTCTCCACCATGCCCCAGTCTCCTGGAATAAGCCTCACTGTGCAGACCGCCGCATCGTTCTTGCAGCACTGCTGCCGCTGGGTAGCCTGGACAGCATGGACATCCTTTGTATGCCCTTAACCCGATAGTCCCTATACTTGGCATTTTGGCGCCTGGGATGCCATCTGGTTTTGGAGAAAGTTTGGGGGGGGGGGGGGGGGGGGGAGCCATCCATACACATACATACATACATCATACATACATACATACATACATACATACATACATACATACATACATACATACATACATACATACATACATACATACATACATACATACATACATACATACATACATACATACATACATACATACATACATACATACATACATGTATATATATATATATATCATGCATATACACACATAAGCACGCACACACACACACGCGCACATAAGGAATCCACAAAGTGCACCAAGAATGTACAAAAGTCGTCCGCGCAGCTCTCGGGGTGAATGGGCAGCTCGTCCATGGGCTCTGCCCCTGCATACACCCGGAGGAAGCCAGCCGCCTGCTCGAACGTGCGCTTGCCCACGCCTGGGCAGATTTCGTGAGAGAGGAATTGGCAGAACATCTTGGGACTGTTTGCGCTTCTCCAGGGCTTCCAATCCTGACGAGGGGCCACGCACGGACAGTAAGTCTGCCCGAGACTTGAATTGGCCGATGTCGCTGCGGTACGAGACGATGCTCCGTGCCAGGCCGGATGAGAGGCCCGACACCTTGGATGCTTCTAAAATCTATTCTGTGCCTGCCAGTTGCTCATTTTCTAAGTCTGAGCTTTGAGGGTCCAAAACCGAATCCTGCCATCAGCTCAACACCATCCCGACATCTGCGTAAGTTTTGCGTAGGTGTGGGGTGGGACAGCCTAGCAGCCTGCCTGACACTGCCTGCACTGCAGACAAAAGCAAGGCAAGGTTCTAGTCGGCATGGGGAAGTTCTGAACTATCACTGACACGTACATTATATGAACATACTCGATATACTGACGCTATATAGAAAACATCGCCTGATGCCAACTTACACACCGGCGCATGGGAGCAGCAACAAGGTGACAAAGTTCGCTCACACACAATCCAAGCAGCGTGTTCCAGGATGGCCGGTGAGGCTGTGTTGAGATCGACGCCCACGGCGTTGACACAGTCCATGGTGGCCCCTTTCAGCTCCTCGGCCAAACGCTTCTGGTCCACGTCATGCTGATAGAGGCCCACCCCGATGCTCCGAGGATCAATCTTTACCAGCTCAGAGAGGGGATCCAAGAGCCGCCGTGCGATGGAGACGGCGCCGCGCATGGACACGTCTAGCTGTGGCAGCTCTGCCCCTGCGAGCTGGGAGGCGCTATAGATGGAGGCCCCAGACTCGTCCACCACCGCGTAGCCAACGCATTCTGCAAGCACCTCGTCCCAGCCCTTCAACTGCTGACGCAACCAAGCTTCCGTCTCCCGGCTGGCAGTGCCATTGCCCAGGCTGCAGACGACCCGGGCGTGGCCGTCGGCGCGCTGCCTCTTCTGCGGCCGCTCGGCTTCAGCCAAATCCCCTCCGTCCTCTGGTTCAGCCTCGGCAGGCGCCACTTTCGTTCCCTGCAAGCCTTGCCCAAGAAGGTCCCGGAGGCCTCGGCTCGCGTTCTCGGCCTGTGAGGCGGGCACAGCTGCCCCGGCATAGCTTGGGTGCGGGAAGAGCGTCTTGGTCGCCAGGACTTGCCCCGTCAATGAGATCAACGCGCACTTGCAGCCCGTGCGGAAGGCCGGGTCCACGCCCAATACGGCCGACACGGGAGGACCAGCAGTGGGGGCATGGCCCCAGTCCGGGTGCAACCTCAAAGGAGACGAGAGGAGCTTCTTCTTCAGATTCCGGCGATAGGTGTCGAAGGCCTCGTCTTCCGCTTGTTGCTTGAGGCGCCGGCGCCACTCGCGTTCCAGGAAGGGAAGCAGCAGGCGCTTGTAGGCGTCTTCCAGCGCCAGGCGAATCTCGGCGCGGTACGCGGCTCGGCCCGGAAGGCTTCCCGTGTGCTTACCTCCCATACCTCCCGCTGCCCTCATGGGTGTAGGGGTCGCAGCGATGGAGTGGCGGGAGCCACCCAAGAAGGTCGACATTAAGGCATCGAGTAAGTGTGTGGCATCGTCGTCCGTGATGGCAAAGCTCAAGCTGAGGCACTTCTTCTGCCTTAGGCTTCCAAACACCAAACACCCCCCCGCCCCCCCTCGCCCTCGCGCCCCTCCCCCTCCCCCGACCCTGGAAGAGAAATGGACAAAGTGGCTCTCCACGCTGCACTGCCAGGAACTGATGTGGCTTCACCTGCCGACTTTTGCAAAATCAAAGCAGGTGGCCCTCAAGGGAAAATCCGGCTACCAGAACCTTTAACAACTCCAAACACCCGGATACATGATTTAGCAGGCCACCTGGCGCAAAGGGGCGCTGAATTCCCAGTAGGTCTTGAACTGCTCTTCCGGATCCGCTTCGCCACGGCGGCGAGCCTGGAGTCTTACCTGCCGGGGGGAGGGGGGGGGGGGGGAGGTGGGGGGGGCTGCCGACGCGGATACTTACATGACGTTTCGCTACACTACACAACACTTCTAGTACATTGCTTCATGTCAATGCCGTGCTTTATGTTGGGTGTCATTGCATTCTCTGATGTTCTGCTATTAGCATTGCGAATCACAACCCCGCCTTTCTAGCAGTTGCATGCTAGAGCACATGCATGGAACTGCCCACGCGTGCTTTGTGTGTCTGTGCTTGCGCATGCAGGCACACTACCTGTTGACTTGGCTTGTACTGTACTTCGCTGTGTTTTCTATTCCGACAAGATTTTTTATGATATAATGAACCTTTGCCGGGTGAGGCGTGGGATGTGGGTGGTTGTGTAGATATGAAGAAGTAGTGTTGCGGAGGTGGCGAAAACTTCTTTTCCGTCCGAGTCCTAAGGGAGTCTCCGCTGCAGCTTGAGCTTGCAGCGGACGATTTTTCAAGAGCACGGACTCGCTTCTGCGGAGATGTGCTTCTGCAAACCCTTCCGTGTGCTTCCGCGGCCACAGTCTCGTGCACTTTCACGCTCCCGGTTCCGGAAATATCTTCCGAACGCAACTAACTTCCAAGAAAAGAAGCTGCTGTGGAGTTGAAACTTTCCAATTGTCGGCGGATCCCTCGTTGCTGACAACAGTCGCCTTGCTCTCGAGCATGCTGCGGGCCAACTGCCTCACATCCCCACGGTGGGCAAACTGCTCTGCCAATATGTCCCGAGCGGCCTCGAAGGGTTGCAAGGCAAAGCCCCCAACAAATAATTCGCAACCCTTTGTGAACCCAAACTCAGAGCATGAGCTGGGACCTCCAAGCCATGCATGTGCACAGCTTAGCAGCAAAAACTCTCTCTCTCTCACACACACACACACACACACCTGCACCCGCACCCGCACACGCACAAGCATCCGCACCCGCACACGCACACGCGCACACGTCTGAACCCCATTGAATCTTGGGGCCGCCTTCAAGACAGCTTCCACATTGGGGACCTCCGCTGTGATGAAGTGCGCGGCGGCCTCTTCCAGCGTCTGCCCCGTAATGGGGAGCACCTGTTCTCTACCTAAACCTGCTGATTCTTAGTCGGGGGAATGAGGGAAGTAGGTAACCTAGATGCTCCCTTGAGGGTGTATATATATATATATATATATGTGTGTGTGTGTGTATGTATATATATATATATATATATGTATATGCCTAGTTGCTCGTCTGTAGTACGTCCCTGCCCATCGAAACTACCAATCGGATCTTCTTTGCTTGAAAATGCCATGTGCGCGTGGCATTTTCTGGTGCGATGTTCTCTCCCACAGGGTCTTCGCTAGGTTTTCAATGAGTTCGCAAGGCTTTTCATCCATGATTTGGCTTGGTTTCCCATGCTCCGCACACAAGAGACGCCGAACCCAAACCCGAATTTCTGAAGCACTCTGTGCGCTTCACAAAGGACCTTCACAAACTCGTCTGTGGAGATCCGTGAAGTTCTGTGAAGTTCTGTGAAGTTCTGCGACGTTCTGTGAAGTTCTGTGAAAACCTGTGCAGGCCTCCGCAAGCCAGAAATCGCAGGCGTTGAGCCCACACAAACACCCGTGCTGCTAGATGCTCCGGGCTCTTGTTCCACTCTCCAATTCGCTTGGTTTTCACAAAAACCAATCGGGCCAGCCCGAACATACCTACGGGGACCACTCCGCCAATAGGATTCCTTGTTTTTGATTTGGATGAGGAACCGGAAATTTTCGGAGACCCCCCTGTTCACGGAACTACACGGAAAGCCGATTCTATATGTTGCATCATATTGCATCTACCCTGTTCCCACACGTACCAAGCAAAAGCCTCCCCCCCCCTTGGTCACGATGGGCTGCTTATGTTTCGGGACACAAAGAGCAGATGCTCCCTGGTACGAGCGTTTTGGGCTGTAGAGCTTATGAACCTCACAGCCGGCGCCCTTCCGAGCCCCACACGCCCACAAGCATGTTGGGACTTGACGGCCAAGACTGCAACACGAAGGCCTCCCGGAGCTCCTTGACCTCGGTGCCCTCGGTGCCCTCGGTGTCCTCCGTGCCTTGGGTGCCTTGGGTGCCCTCGGCGTCGCGCACCTCCGTGTCGCCAGCGACCGTGTCGCCAACGGCTTGGGGGGCCTCGGGGGTGTCGGCGGCGACTTGGGGGGCCTCGGTGGCGTCGGCTCTTGCAGGGAAGCCGATGAGCTCCAAGACCTCGTGGTTCGGTGCCAGCTTGGCTGCCGCCTCCAGGAAGTTGGCCAAGGGCTCCAAGCCCAAGGACTTGGCGACCTGGGCCCGCGTCTGTCTCTTGGCCTTGAAAGGGGCCCACAAGGCATCGATGTCCTCCACACTCTCGGCCTGCAGTAGACTCTGGCCGAGATCTGGATTGAGGTGCCTGCCCCGTTGAAGGGCCAGTGCCACCCGGGCACGCTTGGTTTCCAGGTCCTTCACGCGGCTCAGCTCGCGCTCCACCCTGCGCAAGTCCTCCTCGTTCATGGAGCCCGTCTGCTCCTTCCGGTACCGGGCGATGAACGGCAGAGTACTGCCTTCCTGGAAGAGGCGCACGGCGCCCGCGACGTGCGCCTTCTCCAAGCCGAGCTGGCCTGCGATCCACGCCGCCTCATCCTTCTGGATGCGCGACTGTTCTCCCAGCACTTTCTGGGCATCGGCGATGTTGGGGGAGCCGTTCTCGGAACTCTCCCAGGCCTCGCCAGCAGCTGGGACGTTTTCATCCGCCCCATCCTTTCTGGCGCTCTTTGCTTTGGCTTTAGGCTTTCCAGGCATGCGTACTTTGGCCTTCGCTTTGGCCTTCGCTTTGGCCTTCGCTTTGGCCTTCGCTTTGGCCTTGGCTTTGGCCTTGGCCTTGGCCAACGCAGGGCCTGCTTTTGCTTTGGGTGTGGCTTTCAACAGCTTCGCCTTAGCTCCTGCTTTGGCTGTCGGCTTGCTCGGTTTGGGAACGGGCGGATTTTCCGAGCTTGCCGTAGCAGCCTCAGCCTGCCAGGTGCAGTCTCTGCTTGAATTCTAAATGCTCATCCGGCTTTCCCCACATGGTTGTAGGCAGTTAATTAACAGACACGACAGGCGCATTGTCACAACGCAAGGCAAGAACACTTCTCAAGCCTCCTCCATCTTGCATGGTGTTTTCGCCTTCGCAATCTTCTTACACGTTGCCTTTGGAGCAGGAGCTGCACGCTTACCTGGCAGGTGGCACATGCTCTTCAGCAGCAGGTGACGTTTCAGTCTGTGGGAACAGCGGCTGCCAGCTGGACAGGCGTCACCACCCTCAGAGTAAGACTACCACCGTCGTCCAGATCAGCACAGTCATCGATACAGCTCTACTATGCTCTGCTGTTACTGCTGGCTGAGGAGTGCAAGAAACAACCCGATAAGCATCCAAGTCAGGGCTCAGAACAAGCTGTATATATATATATATATATATTGTTAATATATAGTGCTCATCTATATGCATATGTATATATAAATTATACAAAACAAAGCCTGTAACGAAAAGCCCGCTGCAGACTCCTGCTGCCCAGCCGCTCCCTGCATGGATGGAGCGCTTCAGGCTCAAACGCTTCTGCCGGCTGGGTACCTCAGCTTGCGCTGCATGCAGCAATGCCTTTGCTTGGTCTGTGCATCCAGTGAGCTCATGATTTCAGCGTCAGACAACGAACCGTGACAAGTCCTGGCTCATGCAGCTCAAACACCAGACGGGGCGTGGGCATTGTACTAACGACAATCTCATCATCAGCAGCAGCAGCAGCAGCCACTGAATCTGACGATGCCGGGTCCATGGCGCTCCAGCTCGCAAGGAAGCAACTAAAGTCACGGCTTCCAAAGCCTAAACCCCGGCCTGGAAGCCCTGTAAACCTTGAACCCTTTAAAACACCGAAACCCTTATCAGGTATACACCGGGAAAGTTGAAAGGGTATATCCGACTCAGGATTCTGGTGTCAAACCTGTTGAAGGCTGAGGGGCTAGGAGGACCATGCATTGATCATGAGGAGGTGTTGGAACACTTGGTCTTGTCAATGCTGCTTCTACCTGCAGGCAGGAAACGGGCATTTGCAGCCCAACATCCGGACGAAGTAACGTAAAGCCCGCAGCCAGAGGCACAGCGTCTTGGGGTAGAGTATTCAGACTGCCCAGCCAATGAATGTAGTTCCTTTTCTGGGGGGCTTGAATTCTTATGGTATTCTGGAACGACAATTGGACGAGGTCGCCACTCAAAGTACGAATCCGAAGGAGGACTCTTTCTGCCTCTTTGTCCCTGCACTGCGCTCCGTGTCCGTCGCCACACATGGCTCGAATGCTGCAATGCGGCCAAGTTAAATACCATGGCCCAAGTAACAGCTCAAAATATTACATAGTGTTGGTTTGTGGGGAATGGGGGAATGAGGTACCCTGCATAATTCCTGAAAGGGGTAGGGCCTGACTCCCTCATTCCCTGCTATCCCACAGTAAGAATACCCAGCACTGCAACACTCCAGATCATCTAACTGCATCGGACACTCAAAGGCCGGTGGCGGGTCGCGGACCCATCTCCAGCTTCGTGAGTGTCAGGCTCCGGCGTTGCGCAATCGTTGCCACGGATTTTTTTTGCCACCCGTCTAGCCATGCTCCACGGGGCAACTGAAGAGGGAATGCTGTGACCACGGTTTAGGGTTTCGGGTTTAGGGATTAGGGTTCAGGGTTTGGGGTTCCGTGTGCGCCGGATTCAAGAAATGCCACCCGAGTTGGAATGTACACGGTGGCCTTTTACCCCTGGCTGACGCATCAAGGTGGTCAGCAATCGCACACTTGGAATTCAACCACTCGCGAGTCTCACTGCTTGGACGAGTGGGTTCTGAAGCCTTAGCTTCTAGGCGAAGGACCCTTCTTTGCCTGAATCCTTTTGAGCCTCAAAGCTGCCTCTTCATGCTAGGACCCTGAACCCATAAAACCCTAAACTTCAAAGCATGCAAAGCATTGTGACACGTTGGTCTCAGCGCCTACAGGAGCTTCGACCCTGATTCAAGCTCTCACCCGAGCCTTTCGGCATCTTTCAGTCTTCCAACCCCGAAATCTCAGTCTCGAACCCACCTTCCCCTGAAAACGGTTTAGGGTTTAGGGTTTAGGGTTTAGGGTTTAGGGTTTACGGTTTAGGGTTTAGGGTGCATCCACCACCGAAAATCAGGACTCAACCTTCAAAGCAGGGTTGAGATCTTCAACTTTCGGGCCAGGGGCCCCGGAGCCGCAGCAACCCCAAGCCCAGGCAAACCCCCCCAAAAACCCTAAACTCAACCCTAAACCCTAAACCCTAAACCCTAAACTCTAAACCCTAAACCCTAAACCCTAAGTGCTTCTGAGACCGGCGAGCTGCTCCGCTGCTCCGGAGTCCTTCCGCGCCTCCTCTGAGACGTCCTCGGGCCTGGGTTCGGGCCGAACCCAGCACAAGCCCTCAACCCTGAGCTAGCGACAACTCATATAGGGGTCGGAATAATTGCTCATATGGTGTTCTCTTGTGGTCCCTTTATAAATATACTAGAGTCAACCACAAAACCCTCTTCTATTTATTAAGGCCCCTATATTTGTGCTGGAGCTTCTCGATCGCAAGACCGTCCCAAGGAGCTGCACGTGAAGCAGCGCCCCATCCGTGCCCGCCGGGATACGCCGCCTCTTGCTCGCCTCTTGCTTCTTTGGGGTTAGCAAACAACAATGCGCTGAGACTGAGTTGAAACCTTTCTCATCTGCGATTTGTTTAGGGTTTGGGGTTTAGGGTTTAGGGTTTAGGGTCTAGGGTCTAGGGTCTAGGGTCTAGGGTGCTTCATTTTATGTGAATTATTTGTTTATGCTGTTGTTTCAAGCTGTAATCATGGTGCATCCAGGCAGGGGCGCTCTCCGACAGGGTCTCAGGGCTGAACCTATACTCCCCTTCGAACCTAATATAGTTGTTAATCTCCTCTTGGATTTTATATAAAAAAGTAAAAAAAAAACCAAGGGGGATATAGGAACTCCCGGAAAACGGGACCCTGGGATCGAAAACCTTCTGAAGGCGCCTTGACAGGGGTGGAGAGATCCTGGGACTCGAAGCGCAAGTGGGGCTCCAGGCGCTTGAGCGAGGTCTCCTCCACCCTCCTTTGCTTGGGTGCTTCATACAACTTCGCGGAATTTTAGGCAAACTTTTTACGTGCTTGAGTTGGTTGGACATGGCAGGAGCTAGGCATGTTGAGTCCAATGGCTCTCGTCCCACACGCTCGACACTTCTACTTTCTACCCGGCTGTCTAGTCCATCTTTCCCTGCCTCTCTCTCCCTCTCTCTCCCTCTCCCTCGCTCTATCACTCCCTGTCACTGCGTCTCCTAAGCCCACAACGACGAACGCTGCGCCCTTTTCAGTATGCTGGGGGCTCCCCCTACAAAGACAGGCCAGCCGGCCAGCATAAACTGCGCCCGGCCAGGCCCACGTTACTTGGTACTGGGTTTCCGACTGAAAGCATGTTGAGTCCCAATCTTTTTAAGTAGGGGCTACTGCTGATAATCCGAATTTTGGAAAGAAGCACATGATGAGGAAGTAGGGGCTACTGCTGATGACTAGATATAACTAGCATCAGAAAAGTTCTCCTCAAGACTGCTCCAAGCATCGATGTCCTGAGTGCTTCAACTCCACCCCGAGGCGGTGTGCTGGGGCTTTCCCGGTTGGCTTCCTTGGCTTCTGGCTGACAAAGTTGCAGGAGGCGTGCCGCAACCTCTGCTGGTGACTCACACACGCAGTCACCATCCGGATCCCTGGCAGACTCCTCCAGCAGACTGGCTAGAAGTTGAAGTTCCTCTGGCCCCATGTGAAGGCCCGTGTGATCTGCACCCTGCGAGGACTCTTGAAATGGCGCCCAAATATCGTCGAGGTCCTCTGCTGTGCCTGCTCTCAGAAGCTGCATCTGCCTCTCCGGGGTGAGTTGGCCACGCCTTTGGAGTTCGAGCGCCATGTGCCTTCGCCTCTGCTCCAGGGCGAGTCCACGCTTCATCTCCCTCTCCACGAAATGCAACGCCTCCTCTGTCATGCATCCAGTCAGCTCCTTGCGATAGAAGGCGATGAAATGAACGGAGGTTCCCTCCTGGAGAAGCTGGAGGGCATTCTCCACGTAGCCTCGATCAAGAGAGACTTGCTGCGAGACCCAGCCAGCCAGGTCCATCAGCACAGGCGGCTTGCCTCCAAGCAACTCCTCCATCTCCGCAACACTGGGGAAGGAGTCCCATGAGTCCCCAAATCCCTCAGCCCAACCTTCCTCCTTTGCTTCCCTGGAGCCGGGGCCGTCAGCCGCTTCCACGTTAAAGGCTCGGGGGCCGGGGCGAGCTTTGGCCTTGGACTTGGCGCCCCTGGCGCGAGCTTTCGCGACTTGCTCCGACAGCGGTGCGCCGGCCTCAGGATGCCAAACAGGTTTTTGCTTAAGAAGGGTCTGCCTCAAGGAGCCTGCTCTGAAGACTAGTGGACTTTGTCTCGGGCAGCTTTTTTGGGGGGTTTTCTGTAAGGCAGCAGAGACTGGAGTTTGCCGAGCATCCTTCGCTGCAAGGGTTGCAGGCTCCTCACCTGAACACTCACAGCCCCGCACGTTTAGGGCTTTAGGCTCATAAGGGTCCAAGAGGGTTTAGGGTTTAGGGTTTAGGGTTTAGGGTATAGGGCAAGGGTTTTAGGGCTCAAGCCTAGCTGGGCGAAATGCTCTCAAAGTTTAAGGCTCGTGCGGCCGTCCACCGGCGCCTCCACCACAGGGGCCTCAGTCACCAAACCCCCCCCAAAAAACCCTACAAACCCAGCAGAACCCTCCATAAACCCGAAGGGAGCTCCGTTAAACTCGACAGACCCAGCACTGGGCTCCACACCTCACTTCCCAGTCTGCTGCCATCCATCGCTGCAAGGAAACACACTTCCCAACGCGCGCCCGGGATGAGACTGAAGCAGCACGTTTCCAAGTCAACCAACGCGTCGGCTTGAGGCTTGAGGGCTTTTGGTTTGCCAGGGTTTAGTTTTTTTGTTTTTTTTTTTTTTTTTTTTTGGGGGGGGGGGGGGGGTTGAGGGGTTGAATAGGTTTAGGCTCGGGCTCACAAGCCGTAAGCAGTCAAACAATTCTTGAAACTGGGCTGCTCTGTCCCAGATTCACAATGCCTGCACAATGCTTGCACAATGCCTGCTGCACAATGCCTGCAGATGCCTGCAGCCTCCCCTTGCAGGCTGTGTAGGATCCCATGCCTCTGCTCCACTAGGCCCTCAAACCCTCGAGCTGAGACGACGACAGGGCTGCCTTCAGCATGGCCTTGAGATCTAACGACGCTGGCATTTGCACCTTTCTGGCAGCTCAGGATTGGCACGTCGTGGCGTCAACGAGGGCAATTCCGGGGTTTGCAGTGGACGTCAACTTATGCTTTGATTTCTGACACATCCTGGGTCAGGACTGTTGGTATCAGGAGGAACATCCAACCTAAAACCCCTTGAGGGAGAAGGGTTCGGCGCCTTCTGCAGCATGCGGGAGAGATGATCGGGAAGGACCCACTTCCTTGGCGAACGGCTCTCGACTCGCTTGCGCTGTCAGGAAGAACTGTGAGCGCCGAGCACACCGGTTTCGGACAGTACCTGGCACGAGGAGAAACCGCTCATTAAACCCTATACCTGGACATCACGATGTTGGGTTTCTGCTCCTTATTTTGAGTAGCCCCTCATGTTGGAAATCTGGCCCCCCCCCCACCAGCCTTGACAGAACCCGCAGGCACGTCCTCAGCAAGCAAAGCAAAGGGGCTTCGGCTTCAGGATCTATAGGGTGTGTTCAACGCTCTCCAAATTTGGGGGCATGTGAAGGTTGTAGAGATGTTTCGAGTTTCTGTGGGTCCATGCAAAGCGGTCATTGGCAGATCTTGAGATGCTGGCAAAGCCCTCAGACTTGCTGTCTACCAGGAACACCTCCTGGACGACACCTGCAAGGGCTCGTTCTGCACGTATTTGGATCCCTTATATATGTGGGCGTTTCTGATAATAAGGGTACCCGGGTACCCTTTACGGGGGTCCCTTGAAGGGGATTCTGCTCTATCTGGGGTATAAAAGGATACCCATTTTGGGTAATGCCGATGTTCATCGCAAGAAGGTTTCTTATCAAAAGATCCCAGCAAGGATCCAACTTTTTCAAGACCCCTTGTGTCCAATGTGGTAGCACTGAGCGAGGGCGGCCTAGCAGCCACTGTTGTCGGCTGTCGCTCCAAACTTGGATCTTCTCGCCTGCAGCCACTTCCCAGTATCGCTGGACCACAAACTCAGGGTATAGGGTTGAGGAGTTAGGGTTTAGGGCAAGTGGCCTTTGGTGAAAGTCGGACTCCCTGAGGGCAGCGAGGAGCTGTGAACGCCAGAGGGCCTGCGGCAGCACTCAACATGCAGCACCCTGCTACGGGTTAGTTACTTTATAAGGGAACCCATAACCAAAAAAAGGGGTAAAAGGGTACCGCTGGGCTACTAAGACCATCAAGAATCAAGACCGCGCACCAAGCACCACACGATGGCCGCAACGTCTTGCTGATCTGGTCGGGCATCACCCACTTGGAAGTGCCTGCGCCCGAACGCAAAGAAGAGTCTTCACGCCCTGCGTGCCACCATGTCTTGTGACCTCCGATGGCCTTGCGAGGAGCGAACTAGCAGGGAGCCTGCCTCGAGAAGGGCAAGAAGACATGACCAAATAGCTGGCCAAAGCACAGAAGAGCACTCTGGCATCATATCCAGCCCTGTCTCTGCCCTAGAACTCTGGAACCCTTTTTGAAGCCCATGGACACCCGAAACCATCGTGAGCATGGGATGTCGCACACTGACATAAGCTCCGGACGGGAATGGTGAAGCCCTTTCCGTCGGTATCCACGGAGTATGCCTCCTGTCTGTCAGTCGAAGGCACAAACTGCCCGGTAACGATGGCTGAAGGCTGCCAAAATTGTCGTTTACAGCTCTGCACTTGAGCAGGAGTTGCGACATCAGGGGAAAAGCGCATGCCCGGCATGCTCAAGCACTACCACCCCCGCCTTAGCGACTGTGGCATGCGTTATAATAATATTCCAGTAGTCGTCATTCGGGTTGCTGGGGGGGGAGGGGGGCGCAGCTTGTCTGCGGCTTCTTCGATGCGAAGCTTATAAAACTTGACATCTTGGCCGATTTGGATCCCTGCTCCCAGAGAGAGGAACCGGATTCCTGCAGAAGTTGATAAAGGGCTGCTGTGCACCCACGTCCATCGTGTTGTTGACAGGTGCATGCACCAGTCCCTTTTGCCTAAACCCTAAACCCTAAACCCTAAACCCTAAACCCTTTTTTTAACCCAGGACTGCAAGACCATCCTCCTTTCAAGTTCCTCACTCTCTGTGTGGCAGCCTTCATTCGGAGGCTGGAGCTGGGGAACGACGAGAGGGCAAACCCAAAAGGATCCCTAGTGTCCCGGTGCACGAATTAACATGAACGCAATACCCTAAACCTGGAAACCCTACAACCCTAAAAACCCTATAAACCCTAGAGCCCTAAAAACCCCTATACCACAACCGTAGAGACCCTATAAACCCTACAGAGCCCTTTTGCCCGAAACCTTGACAACCCTGTAACCCCACAAACCTGTAAACCTGCGTAATGGCCCATGTCACATAAACCCTAACCCTAGACCTAGACCCTGAAGCCTAAACCCTAAACCCTACACCCTAAACCCTAATTAAACCCTAAACCCTAAACCCTAAAGCACACCCATGACCGAGTGTCCAAAGAAGTCCGCCAGCTCTGGGGCATCCGATGACGCGTCTTTCTCGATGGAGTCCTGGAGGCTCAGCAGCCAGTCCTGGGGTGGAGTTTAGGGTTTAGGGTTTAGGGTTCAGGGTTTAGGGTTTAGGGTTTAGGGTTTTAGGGTTTAGGGTTCAGGGTTTAGGGTTTTGGGCGTTTAGGGTTTAGGGTTTTGGGGATGTGGAACCCCCCGTAGCAATGCAATTTCGGGATCTTGTCTACCAGTCTCTAAGCTTCTACAGGCGCTCTATTAGGGTCTACCAAGAAGTGGATTCTAGCACCCAGAAATAGACCCATAAACATCAAAAAAATATTTTCCAAAGCAGAACCCCGGAGTCAGCCAGTCCGGAGATTGCCTCCGATGCCTCCGCGCTGACAGACCAGCCCTGCACTTTGGCCTTCTTGCGCCTTCCTCAGGTTGGCCCTACTAAGCAAAATCCTTCGGCGCGAGACATGATCTGAAGCTTAAGATCCTCCGAACCTTAAAGCAACTCTAACCTCTATACCAAGCCCAAGAGGATCCAAGAGGAGGGGGAAAGGGGGAACCCACCGAGATTCGCTTTGGGGAAGCCTTGGATGGAGCAGGATCCTCCAGATCGGTTCCCAGACTGAAAGCTGCACCCAGACTCGCAGCTGGGCCGATATCTTCGGGGACGTCAATTTCAGCCACGAGCTCTGGGTAGTTACCTAGGACGGCCCTTTAAAACCCTTTGAAAAAATAGTCCTACAGAGGATCCTCTTATGAACCCGATAAGAGAAAGATTAAGACATCCCAAGGGCCTACCGGGTTACCTTGGACGAGCTCCGGCACCTTGTGCGAGACCTCGGACGCCTTGGTGGGGCTCAGTCCAGCCCGCTTGGGCCGCCGGTAGCACGGGATGGCCGACGCGCGCGGCGCGGCAGAAGGCGAGGAGGTGCTGGGAGCCACGTCCGAAAACTCGGGCGAGTTTGTGGCTCCCTCGGTCCTGGGATGCTCGGACTTAGCATTCTGGGGTCTCGGCTGGTGTTGGAGTTCGTGGGCTTCTCAGGGCCCTACCATATCGAATCAGAAGGCTTCACAAGAGAAGAGCACCCAAGGCACTGGGGCAGCTCCCGCACGGGCTCCTGGGGGCGTCGGCGCTGCTTGCGCCGGAGCCACTGCGACACCTTGCACTGTCCCCGGAAGCGCCGCGCAGGCGCCTTCCATGCGGCGGAGGTGGAGCCATGACAGTCCTGGGCAGCGCAACATGCGTTACATGGCCAAGTTGCGGCTCTGGGTCTCCAAGATGCCAGAGTTAAATTCTTGCCCTGAAAGGAGCAGAGCATCCGAGTGGTTCCAGCACCCACGCTGGCCGGGCAGCCTCTTTGCGCAATCCATGTCATCGTGGTCAGCCCTGGTGAGGCCTCTGTCCCCTTGCTTTAAGAGGTCGGGGTTCTCTTGGATGTCCCGCACAATTTGCAGCTCTTCCAGGAGGTCAAGAATGTCATGGTTGATGCCCGTCTCCGCAGTGGCTTCCTCCTTTTCCGGTGGATCCTGCCCTGCAGTCGGCAGCCGGAGTTCAGGAGTGTGGTCGTGAGAAGCGCAGGGCACATCCTCTTCGGATCCGCTGTCCCCGTTCTCAGATTCAGCGCAGCGCGCAGAGCTGCTGCAGCTGGTCGCGGAACTGCACAGATCAGACGCGCAGGCGGCGTTGCCATCGCTTGAAGCGCCAGCTTCGGACTCGAGATGATCTGGAAGTGACGGTTCGGCCGGTGCTGTCTCTTGGCCCGAAACACAAGTCCTGGTCGAGAGGTCACGAGCCAATCTGCGCAGCGGCCCCGGGCACAGGCCTTGGTTGAGATGGTTAAACTAGGATGGCCCCTAAAACCCTCTGAAGAATTTTCCTGAATATGATCCTCTTAAACCCAATAAGGGAAGATGTAAAATGTCCCAAGGGCCTACCTAGTAAATTAGGGACTACAAAACCCGAGGAACACATCGACATCGATTCTCACGACCGAGCTGCTGCCGACGGCCGCCTTGAGCATGAATCCGCTCCTGGCCAGCCGGGCGTGCCAGAAAAGCTTGCAGCTCCCAGTCTCCGCCGGCTGCACAAAGAAGCCGCAGGCCACCTCTATGGGATGGGGTCGTCACAACAAAAAC